AACATAAACATAACAAGACCTTGAGATCCAAATATTTTTGAGAACATGAGGACTGAAGGGAAGGACAGATTAATATTAAAATCCATGTTATTCTCAATGCTCTTTGTTTTTTCTGATGTTCATAGTTCAAGTTACCTGCCAATCTTACTGGAGTGAGATGGTATCTTAGGGTGGTTTTGATTTGCATTTCTCTGACTGCTAGAGATGGTGAGCATTTTTTCACGTACTTGTTGATTGATTGTATGTCCTCCTCTGAGAAGTGTCTGTTCAGGTCCTTGGCCCATTTGTTGATTGGGTTATTTGTTATCTTATTGTCTAATTTTTTGAGTTCTTTGTATACTCTGGATATTAGGGCTCTATCTGACGTGTGAGGAGTAAAAATTTGTTCCCAGCATGTAGGCTCCCTAATTACCTCTCTTATTGTTTCTCTTGCTGAGAAAAACCTTTTTAGTTTAAGTAATTTTAGTGTATATTCTGCATGTTTAAGCCAGTCCGATGGCCTTAATTTAAGCATTTACTCCATTAACTTGATTAGTTCTTCTTTAAAAGAATGTAATAATCAATTCTCCCTTCATAATATCTCTTTTTATTATTGTTGTTATTGGTGGTGGTGGTGGTACTGGGGATTGAACCCAGGAACATTCAACCATTGAGCCACATCTCCAGACCTTTTCATATTTTATTTAGAGACAAAGTCTCCCTAAATTGCTGAAAGCTGGCTTTGAATTTGCAATCCTCCTGCCTTAGCCTCCTGAGCCACTGGGATTACTGGCATGCACTATCACACCTGGCTTTCCTCCATAACATCTCTCCTTCCTCTCGTCCTCTTATTCTCAAAAACTATTCCATTTCTTTTTCAGAGCAAAGTGCTATTTTCGCCACTTTAAAAAATATGTGTATGTATAACTTTTTCTTTCTTTCCTTCCTTCCTTTCTTTTTTTCTGGTATGTGTGTAGTTTTGAGAAAGAAACCAAGGGGTGCTCTACCACTGAGCTACTTCCTCAGCCCTTTTTATTTTTTAAGACAAGGTCTCACAAAGTTGATGAAGCTGGCTTTGAACTTACTATCCTCCTGTCTCAGCCTCCCCAGTCACTGGTATCACAGATGTGTACCACCACCTAGGCTACCCATTAACTTCTTAAGAGTAATTTTTACTACTGTGTTCTTTTCTCCTATTTATTCAACATATTTTAGTTTTGTTTCCACTCTCCAGAAATGCTAAAATTGCTCTTTCAAGGTCAACAATAACTTCACAAGAGTCAAAGCCAAGAGTTAATCAAATTTTAGTCACATTTACAATTGATCACTTCTCTTCTTGAAATTCTATTATCTTCTTTGATATACACTAATAGTTCTCTTATATCTCCACTCATAGTTTGTTAGTACAATTTGTTGGATTTTCCTCTCAGTCCTTAAAAGTCCTTGTGACCCACAAGACAATGAGTCTTAAATGAGTAATATAATGCTCATAGCTCTCACTATAGAGCAAAATTTAATGGAATTTATGGAAAGGCCATTACATTTATGTCATAGTATTTAACAAAGTTTAAATTCTTTTTTTATGGGTATTGATTTTTTTTAATTTGTTACACATGACAGTACAATGATCTTGACCTATCATACATTTGAATCAGATGGGATATAATTTCTCATTTTTCTGAGTGTACAGGTAGCAGAATTATATTGATCATGCAGTCACGTATATACCTACAGCAATAACAAAGTTTGAATTCTTTTGAAGCACCATCTCCTAGCAGAAATTGATCTTTCTCATTAAAAAAAAAAAAAGATTTAAACTTCCCATTCCCCTCCCCCACACACACACAGTAGCAATGAAGCAAAAAGAGTTGCAAACCCAAAGTAGGCAGCAAAATCTGACTTAGGAACAATAGTTCTTAACATTCTCAAGGCAATAGACCCCGAACCACATGAAAAATGAAGACCTTTTTACCCCCAAAATATGTTTTCGAGAACTCATACAATCACAGATCCGCAAATAAATTTGAGAGAGTTCTCAGATTAAAAATTCCAGTGATAGAAAAGAATGCAAACAGTGCTCAGGTGAGGGAGGGAGCAGGGAAAGACCACAATAATCTCCAGCTACAGCCAGAATTCTGGATAACATTAATGGGGAGCAAGATTTTCTGGTGAAAATCAAATGATCAATTCTGTTGTTTGAACAAGTTGATAAGCAAACACTAAGCATTAATATAACAGGTTTCTGAAGCATATTAATGTCCTCAGACCAAAAAGTCTACATAAGACAAAAATCAGAAGATTCCAGAATGGATCAATCTATTTCCCTAGCCATACTTTCTTTGTATCTTAGTGGAACAGAAAGAATTTAAATATAAAGAGCATTATGTATACTACCTGTTCTTTATATTTAAAATGATCTAGTGTAAACAGTTCTCAATACACTGCAGCTCTTTCTCCCCTGCCCAAATCCCGTCATCTTTTAGTTTAAGAAGTTCTCTAACTATTGTCTTATATGAATAACTGAGTTGGCTAGAGAAATTAAGAGTTTACAGTTAAAGAATGAGTAAAAAAAAAAAAAAGATGGGACAGAATCATGCAGAATATCCTGATCACTGTCTCAAAAACCTGATATTTTTCTAGACAAAAAGAAAATGGCATTGAAGAGAAAAATGAGAACTTCTATTTATTTGTCATTCAAAATACTTACATTGATTAGACAAGTGTGGATAAAAAGAACAAAGAGAGTTGGTCCATACACCTGACCTTCAATAATTACCAGACTTATTTCACTGGATTTGCATAAATTACAAGATTACCATTCTTTATGTTTTTGTATTTCAATATTTACAAATTCAGGGTATATTAGGATATTTGTACAGACCACCTCTATCCCAGCACTAAATCTATTGTACTTGAGAATCATTTTATGCAAATAGAAGGAACATTTTTTAAGTTGCTCATATAAAAACTAACTAGTCAAATGTGTCAACAATAAATACAACAAAACATTTCTAAGTCCCATCAATGGGCCCATTTCAAAACACCATCATTAAAAAAAATGCCAAAAGCACATGTCCTATTAGTGATTTAGCAGCACCACTTTCATATCAAACAAATCATGTCATGTTTCAATTGTAAGTATTAATACATTGAGCAATTCAAAATTTGAATATGAAAGTAGGGTTATAACCCGGATATAGTGTAAGGGAATTTTATAAGATCTGTTATCTTAGCACTCACAGCTGTTCTGATATCATTCTTGTAAAACTCTTTCTTCTGTAGTTACCCCTTCCCTTAATTTTTAATAGTAAGAGAACTTTTTTTCTTTTTTCTTTCTTTCTTTTTGTTTTTGGTACCAGGGACTGAACTCAGTGGCACTTGACCACCTAGCCACACCCCCAGCCCTATTTTGTATTTTATTTAGAGACAGGGTCTTGGTGAGTTGCTTAGCATCTTGCTTTTTGTTGAGGCTGGCTTTCAACTGGAGATCTTCCTGTCTCAGCCTCCAGAGCTGTTGGGATTAGAGGCATGAACCATTGTGCCCAGCACAATGACTCTTACTTTTTTTTAAGAGAGAGAGAGAGAGAATTTTTAATATTTATTTTTCAGTTTTCGGTGGACACAATATCTTTATTTTATTTTTATGTGGTGCGAAGGATCGAACCCAGTGCCCCGCGCATGCCAGGCAAGTGCGCCATGGCTTGAGCCACATCCCCAGCCCAAATAATGACTCTTTTAAATATCAAAATGGACACATATTCAAGATTTTATTTGCTTCAAAAGGCAGCTAGACTGATGGCAGATAAAGTGAATATCAGAATTAGATCCATTAACAAATTAGTAATACTGAAATGAATATGCAAAAGGAGGCAAAATTTCCAATGAACCTCTAAGAGACAGGAGAGAACTTGCATGTCTACAGAAAAATAAATTATTTATCATTAATATTATCTGCAGTTTACACAGTTGTAAAATAGCTTCCTCAGAGTCAGATAATCCAAGGGGTATCTTTAGGTAGAATTTAAACTATGTAGTTTGTTACTGAAGTACATATTTTGCCCCTATAAGAATGTGTAGCATCTATAGGAGATATTAACAATATACATCCATCTGAACTCTCCTTACAGACTTCTTGAAATAAGTCTAATGCCACCATTTCCTGCCTTCTCATTCATATAATTCACATAAATCTTGTTTCAAAACACCCATTTCTATGGCGATCCAGTATCCAATGACATCTCATGTATTCTTACTGCTTTAATTTTCTTAAAAACACGAAGACAATCATATAAAAGTTCAATTTCCAGGTTGATTATAGATGTCTCCTTGTTCAATAAGCGATGGCAGGGGCTTACTTTAGTATATTATATGTTGGGTTTCATCTTGCACAGCTATAGATGTCAGAGTTGATTTCTAAAACTTCTATGCAGCACAGGAATAAAAATGGGCAGAACTGACCAAGAGAAAAACTAATGTTCACCTGGCAACAGAGCACCAAAGCCTCAGTCAGCAAACAAGGAGGAGCCAGCCCTGGTCACTTCCCTCTCAAATGGCCAGAGAGCGGAAACACAAAGCCAGACCAATGTCACTTAGGGATTGCGTGGACCTAGACAATTCAACATCCTGGGCTCAGCGTCTATCCACTCTTAACCTGAGCAGCTCTCACGTGGTGGAACGCCCAGCACACAGGACGACGAGACCGACTAGACTTTGGACCTACAACCCGCAGAGCTCCCGGACGCCCAATTCTGTCTGCATCCCAGGACGCACACCTCCTTGGCTACCGCAGCACGGTCCGGGTCGGTGTACCCTCTTCTAATCACCACAACGACCCTGACAGCGCCTCGGCTGAGAACCTAACCAATAGTCGGGAAAGAAGTACCACGCTCATTCTGGTCAAAGCCGGAGGAGGTAACCCCTCCGCACGGCACTCGCCTCAGGGGCCAGGTCCCGTGAGCCGCCGGCCGCACCCCCGCCCTCCCCACCCCGCCTTCACTCCCGGCCTCCGTCCCGCCTCTCACAGAACTCCGGCGGTCCCATCCGGGCGGCGGCGGGACGGGTTAAACTCCTCGTAGAAGGCTGCCAAGTGCCATCTCCTGACAACCCTTGGCAGGAACGCGGTGGTTAACACCAAAGTCTCCCGAAGCTGGAATGACCAGCTGCAAATGCTCAGGGCTGCGAAACACCGGCTTCCGCTCCCAGCACCGCCGCCCAATCAAGTGCCGCTCTCCCGTCACTTCCGCCTAGAAGGTGAGGGGAAGGTTGGGCGGAAGAGGTTCCCGACCGGCCCGGAAGAGGCGGATCCCGTGGGCGGGTGCTGGTGGCCGGAGCCTCGTGGAGGCTGAGGTGAGTCCTAGAGATGCACCGGGACTGCAGTTTACGTCTCTTAGGCGCTGTTGTTGGGTGGAACTTGGAGGAGGCCTTCGTGCGGAGTTGTGCGGGGGAATTGACGGCGGATCGCAAAGATCGGAGCAAACGGGTTACTGCCGGGGTCCGCACAGCTGTATCTGGAGGCCTCTCAGCTACATTCGCGGCTGGCGCGAGCAGAGTAGACCTGCCCGGCCACGCGTGTGCACTGTCTTGCCCGAAGATGCTGAGCCGTGTTGGTTCGGTGTGCGGAACCCCCACACGTTAAACCTGGTTTTCGGGACGTGACGAGTCCGTTCCCACAGTCCACGACTTAAATGCATTACAGAAACAGCGTGTTTGGGAGAGCTGTAAGATAGGAAGTGGTGATGGTGTAGTTTTGGAGGAAGATAAGGTCATGAAGTCTCCCCAGAAGGAGGCGAGATCTGAGTACGCGAAACAAAAGTGACCAGTGCCAAGTTGCATGGAATGTTGTTTAAATATAGACTCCATAAAAGAGGCTGCAAGAATAGGACTTGCCGGGAAAGAAGTGGGTATTGGAGGATAATCTAGGTAAAATGGATAGACAGGAGAATGCATGTTGTTGTAGGTGAGAAGATAATAGGAAAAAAAGCAATGTCACAAAAGGAAACCAGTCGGGCAAGAGAGAAGGTTGAGAGAGAAAGGAGGATGAATAGGATGTTATTGGAAACTGGAAAACGGCTTAGGGGCCCTTTCAAGGGCTTTGAAGTAGGGACAGTGCATTTGAAAAAGATTAGTCTGGTAATATTGCTTTTGAAAGAAAATAATGAAAAACATGGAAGTGGAGGTGCTAGTTGAAAAACTGCAGTGATAAAAAACTGGAACTGAAAGTGCCAGAAAGAGAAAAAAGAATTTTTACTTCAGGAAAACTATCTGGTTGAGTTGACAGATATGAGAGGAGAAAAGTGTTTTAGTGTAGTGGTTTAAGGCAAAAATTTTGGAGTTAAGACCTGCTGAATTGGAATATGAACTCTGTAATTAGTATTCATGTAGGTAGACAGGACTGGAAATAAAAATAATCTCTTGGCCTAGGCATGCTATATGAATTCTCCATATGATAGAAGGAGGTGGTAGATGGATTAACCCGAGGAGCTATAGTTAAGAGGCTTTAGGAGTAAGAGGAATTGGGAAATAATTAATCAAATGGCTAGGCCAAAATCATTATCACCATATCAATATTTTCTTGACTTTTTTTTTTTTTTTGGTTACGGATACTGGGGATTGAACCCAGCCTCATTCCCAGCCATTTTTATTATATTTCTTATTTTGAATCAGGTTCTTGCTAAGTTGCTTAGAGCCTTGCTAAGTTGTTGAGGCTGGCTTTGAACTCATGATCCTCCTGCCTCAGCTTCCCAAGTTGCTGGAGTGGGCCACCACACCCAGCTTTTTCTAGACTTTTAATTGGCTTTGTTTTAGTGTCTGTGAGTAGAGCCTTGAGGCCAGTAGATGAATACTAACAAATATTAGTAGAGTTTGGAATTGGGTATTTTTCTTTTCAACTAGACTAATACATTGATTCTAATCAGAAAGAGATACTTGTAGAGTTAAACCAAACAAAAAACAAAAACAAGAAACAGCTCCTGAAAAAGAGTATAACCTCTGTTTTTTTTTTTTTTTTTTAAATTGTGTGGGTGTTTGGGGAACACTTTTGAATCTTCCATTGGAGAACAGACATGATTGACTTGCCCACTTTTCTTTTTGTACCTTTTATTCACAACCAGCATTTTTATGCATTTGCAGGAATCTTTCAAAAATTGTGTGCCAAGTTGCTCCACTATTTTTGTGTCAAGGGAGGTGCCTGTTCTGATTTTTGAAATCAAGGACAAACCTGCATTTACTAGGACAGTAATTCTAAAAATGTGATCCAGGACCACAGTAGCAGAAGTACTTGGAAACTTCTTAGAAATGAAATCTTAGACCCCACTCCACACATAATGAGTAAGAAACAGGTGCCAGGAGTTGGGGTGAAGTAGTTCTCAGCAGTTTTTCTATAAAACCTCCAGATGACTTGGGTGAATACTAGTTTGAGAACTGCCATGCTAGAAGGTAAGTACCATGGGGTCAGGGCTTTTGTCTTATTCAGCACCATAGTTCTGGTGCCTAGAATAGTGCCTGTCTAATTAGTAGGTTTACAGTAAATACTCATTCAATCTCAAGCTGCCAGTCATGGTGTCAAAACTTTGTAATTCAAGGGGCAGAAGTGAATTGTTTAGATGCACTGAGGCATTGTGTCAGATATTTGTCAGATATATCTGACAGTCTAAACAATTTAAAGCTTAAAGCATGAAAGATCGAATATCCTTAGTGGATTTAAAAATAATGATTTATTTAGTCTAAATAAAGGTTAATAAACCACAAGTTATATGCTTTTAACTACATGGTAAACAGAACCAAGCAACCTAAAGAACTGAGTTTTCTTTGTTTATATGTACAGATTACCTCCCCTGCAGTATCAGACATCATAACATGGGGCTTACCAAGCAATACCTACGTTATGTTGCTAGTGCGGTCTTTGGCCTGATCGGAAGCCAAAAAGGTAATATTGTCTTTGTGACACTTCGTGGTGAAAAAGGACGCTATGTGGCAGTACCAGCCTGTGAACATGTTTTCATCTGGGACTTAAGAAAAGGAGAGAAGGTGAGTCAAAAATCAACTAGGTTGATGCTAATTTGTGGATATTTGAAGATGGATACGTAAAAGTGGGAGAGCTCTGATTTATTTATCATCTGTTGATTTTTTTGTGTGTGTTATGTGTCTTTAGTAAAAATATCTTTTACCTTTGGATCTAGATAAACTGGCCATCAAATTTTGTTGTGTTCTTCACCAAATTCTGAAAATCATAACCAAATAGGATCTTACTTCTTAGATGTCTAGTAGTGATATTTGTAGGTCATTATTTGTGGTCATTATTTATTCCTAGCATTCTTTTCATTTCTCTACCAGTTTCTCTGTTTTCCAAGTTCTACTTGTTCTTACAGTCAGTTATAAAATATTAGACATTTAAATGGTGTGTTACTTTGTTATGTTGATAACCATCTTTTTGTTAGTTATACAGAAGAGGCCCAAGGGATTTTAAACCAGGCTTTGACTTTGTGTAACACTAAATTCCTTAAGCTTACCACTTCTTCCAAATCAAATATAGGTATTTTAATTTTGTCCATTCACTATCTGACTCCCAAGAGGTTATTATTTTGAAACTCTTGCCACCCAGGGTTTCTTGGGATAAAACCACATGATAAACAGTTTGTTATACTACATGGCCATGCAGATTTATTTCTCATAAAATGGGGCTCAGTTAAAGCAAAGAGGAGTTTATAACCCTTTATTAAATATCATTTGGATGAAACTTATGAATTTATTACATTGCCCACGTAATTTTTGTATGTTATACCAGTGCACAGCTTTAGACAAAATAATTTTACTTTTTCTTAAATATTTTATTGCCTAGTACAAATAATAATTTCTGCATTAAATAACTTTAAATGAATTACAGAGTTTTATCATTTATATGATTTCAGATCCTCATCCTTCAAGGGCTTAAGCAAGAAGTCACTTGCTTGTGCCCTTCCCCAGATGGGCTGCACTTAGCTGTTGGCTATGAGGATGGGTCTGTTAGAATCTTCAGTCTCCTGAGTGGGGAAGGAAATGTGACCTTTAATGGACACAAAGCAGCCATCACTATCTTGAAGTATGATCAGCTAGGTGGCAGACTGGTTTCTGGATCCAAGGTGAGACTTTGAAGCAGGTGCTCAGACTTTGATACATTAAAGGCCTTATAATTTATGCTAAAGCAGGTTTTTCACAAAAATTGTTGGTTGAAATTATAGACTTTCAATGTTCAAAATCCTATACAGATGGTAGAAATACAATGAGAAGAATGAATGTGAATTGGGAGATTCATTTTTTTTTTCCTGTTATACTTTCTAATAAAAGACTGAAATTCAGGAATAAGACAGATACCCATGGCAACCATAACAGAACATCATGGTAGAGTACCACCCAAAACCATAAAACAAGAAAAAGAAAACAAAGCCTGGAAAAGAAGAGACTATGATGATTATTTGCCAATGAGTTCTGCAAAATTGGTAGCTTAGATTTCATTCCCAATAAAATGTTGAATAACATAAAAATACCATGAAACTTTACTGAAGAATATAATAGAATCCTTTTTTGGGAAACAATTCATATTTTTGAATAGGAAGAGAATATATTGAGAAAATGCTAGTGTTTTTTTTTAATTAATTTCCATAAAGTAATTTAAATATCTCAAAGGTTTTTGTTTAGAACTTGACCAAAGTTTAAAAGCTTGTGTGGAAAAATGAATGAATTGTTAACAAACAAAATTTGTGGAAAGGAGAATAATAAAAGGGACATTTTAAAATATTTTATAAAAACCATAATTTCAAAAGTGTCATATCGATTTGTTACCAATGCAAAATAGGTTATTGCCATCAAATGGAAATCCTATGACCAAATCACTTTTATATTTCTAATTAGTATATTTTCAAGATAATTTTCTGATAAGTGTAAAGACAATGGATTACTTATAAAATTGTATTCAGATAATTAACTGAGGATTTTCAATTAAGTCTTTACCTCATGACATATACAAAAATGAGTACATTGAAGACTTAAACGTGAGAAAGTAGTATTTTAAGTAAACCAAAAAGTAAATATTTATCTGATATCAAGGTGGCAAAGGACTTCAAATGTATTAGTAAAGAAAAAATTAAAGGAGAAGATTGATAAGTTTGATAAATTTAAAGACAAGGGACAAAGAGAAATAATATTTTTAAAAGATTAATGTATATCTATTAATAATTTACAAATGGTCAAGTAAAAGATTATACCCGAAGCAAATTAGATGAAAGACATGAATTGGCAATTCTAAAGAGATGTAATGGTGACTTGTTACCTACCATGGTGCATATAGAAAAATTCTCAGTATTCAGAAATGCAAATTAAGATAAATGTTTTGACTGAGCATTTTTTATTTATGAAATTGGCAGTGGTTTTTGAGAAAATTAATAATACTCAAGAGTTAATCAGATGAGAACTGGCCTTGTCATATGTATCACTATTGGTCCTATAGGTCAGTGCATTCTGGAGATTATTTCAGTAGTGTGAATCAAAAACTTCAAAAATAAGCGTAAGTTTTAATCCAAGAATTTCCCATTTAATGTTTATCCTAATAGGTATATGTATAAAGATGTGTACAAAAGTATTCTTTCTGCATCTGTATAGTGATAGAAAATTTAAAACTATCTAAATATCTAAATTAGAAAAAATGTTAAATATGGTATATATCCTTAGGAGTAATTATTATGTGATAAAAATAATGAGAACACTTTGGAATGATATGGAAAAATGGAAATGAAAAATGGTTATAAACTGGTCTCTGTTTTATAATAGGAAAATAGCAGAAACATAAATGTAAATATACATATTATGTACATGTAGGAATGAATAAGTAGAACAATATAAAACGAAGTGTCTGCTGATTATCCCTGGGTGATAGGATTAAGGATGATGTTCATTCCTCTGTACTTTCTATGTTTTTTTCCAATTTTCTAGAAAGACTATATTTTGCTTAGTAATACTTAAATACCATTGTTTTGTTGGAGTAAAAGAAGTTATTTTTCTTCTGTACTATTCCATCCCTTTAGGATACAGATGTGATTGTGTGGGATGTGATCAATGAAAGCGGCCTCTACCGCCTAAAGGGCCACAAGGATGCTGTCACACAAGCATTGTTCCTACGAGAAAAGAATCTGCTAGTTACTAGGTAAAGAAATAATGGTTTTTATTACTTTCTCAGCACCATGGTCATGCTTATTCACTAGGCTCTTTTGTGCTCTGCTTTTCTCTCTCTTCACCCTTCCCAAATAGTATCATGGAGCCATGTAAAATTATAGCACTTTAAAATTCTTTTTTCTGATTTGTCATTAATTTCTTTGATATTAATTTTTCTATGTTCCTTAATCTTTTGGTACAACTTTTATGGAGGGAGCTTTGTTCACTTTCTAGAACTCTAGAAAGTCTGAAAAGCAAAATATGAAGCATTGGGCAGATATGAATGCCAGGTGTTTAATTTAGCCTACCTTTTGAGAGAAATGTTTCATAAGCCTTCTGAACATCTACAAGGTTGAACCATTTGAAATTTCCATTTTTGTACGTCAAAATTTTCAAATAGCAATTTCATATGTGGTTCAATCTCATTTAATAATATTCTAATGATTATTACTCCTAAGAAATGACCAATCAGGAAAGACTGAGGTCTTAGGTTGCCTGGCAGTAACTATAAAAACTTTAGTAATGACTCAGGAAGAGTAAAAAAAAAAAGCACTAAATGCTGCCCCAGTGGTGAAGTTGTTGCTATAGGACAGGATCCAGGTGTATTAGGATGTCTTGTTCATATAAGAGGTTCTGTGAGAGAGTGACACTAGCAAGTAGGATTATATGCTGTGTATGTAAGTCGAATTTTTTGTGGAGTTCTTCCACTCCTCATGAAGGAGGATTTTATTTGGTTTATATTGATGAGGAAATTGGAAAGAGGCATCTAAGCAAAAGAATAGAACCATTGGGTATTACTTCTTTGGTAGGAAAGAATTGTTTTAGGAGGTTAAGAGCCAGTTATACAGGTTTTGAAAGTGATGCTAATGAGCCTGATTTTGATTCTGCAGAGATCATTGAGTAGGTATAAATTTTAAAAAATGAGATTATCTGACAGTGGTATAGTGGGCGGGATGAGAGACCAGCAATGGATGTAGACATCAGATGAGTGGCTGTTAAAAATAATTCAGGTAGCAGGACTGAAATTCAGATTTTTTAATATCAAAATGGATGGGAAGGTGTCTAGAGACTTCACAGAGGAGATGTTTTAAGGACATAGTAGCTAACTAAAAACAGGAGAAAAACATAGGGATGGTCTAAGATATCTGTTTCCGTGTTAGACGGTCTGAGAATGTGAATGTTATGGTGATGGAAATGGTGGGAGGAAGTCATGATGGATTTGATTTTTATGTTCTTAAAGAACATAGAAGAGTACTAAATACTCTGAATTCAATTCATTTTTTGTGCTTACAGTAGGTGAAACATCTTAATCTCTAAGAATAACCACAGGGACAGTTAGGATTTTTTGCTTTTCAGAAGAAGGGTCAGATAGAATAGAAACTTTAGGCACAGTTGCTATACATTTTCTTTTTATAGCAGTAAGTGAGTCCTTTATTTCCATGTTAGTTTAATGATTCTTTCTAAATAATTTTTTTTTTCCTGTTTCTTCTTTTAGTGGGAAAGATACCATGGTGAAATGGTGGGACCTTGATACTCAGCACTGTTTCAAAACATTGGTTGGCCACCGAACTGAGGTACATGTTGGGTCATGGACCCAGAGAAAGAATGGGAAGAAGGTGTTTTGTCTCTGGATCTATTTATTTCTTTTTACTGCTCATTCTTTCTAATCATCATATGCTGAATGGTATCTTTTTTTTTCTTTTTTCTTTTTTTTTGTGGCGGAGGTAGTGGTGATGGTAGTAATCATATGCGGTGCCAGCCATTGGAGCAGATATAGCAACTCTGGCATTTAATAAAAATTGACCTTGAATGGTTTTTAATCTTGAGTTTCATTATTTCTGACTAACAGTCCACTTTTGATTCTACAGAGTTCTAATGATAGTCTGTGTATGGTGCCTGCTGCAGCAACATGTAGATATTGTAACTATTGTGGCTTGATCTGTTCAATCAAGTACAGGCAGTAATTACGTATCTTCACATCCTTTTCAGTGCTGTGTTTATATCAGGCTTTCAAAACGATAATACCTTGAATTACTGAGGAAAAGCAGATTTTGCAACACTATTATTATTTTCACTGTTTGATTCTTGGACTTAGAAGTCAAAAATTTTGCAATAAAGATTAATAGGGCACTTTTTACTTGCTAGATACTGCTGAAATCAAAGACGTTTAAGACTAGAATCATCATTTGAGTAGATTACAGTTAAGATTTGTGTTGAACAGCATTATTTAAATTTGGAAATACGAAGTTGGAGAGAAACTACCTAGTATTGTGTAAGCAACAGTTCTACAGTGGGCCTCTGTTTTTTTTTTTTTTTTTTTCTCTGTAGAAGTTGCCTTAGTATGCCTTTTCAAAAGGCCAAGCCAAAGAGATTTTACTTCTAGTATTCTTAGATTTTGGAATGTCATATTTTACAACCTAGAATCTTTTTAAAATCATATGCATCTTCTTATACCCTACAGGTATGGGGGTTGGTTCTGGTTTCAGAAGAAAAACGACTTATCACTGGCGCTTCAGACAGTGAATTGAGAGCTTGGGACATCGTTTATCTGCAAGAGGTTAATTACTCTTTTTTGGGGGGAGGGATTATGGGCAATTTCATAGGCTCATTGAATCAGGTAATTAAGAAATTCTATCACATTGATAAGCTACAACCTCTAAACAAAGATGTTTCTTCATTATATATATGTTCTTGCCTTGTTTATTTGAGCTCTGAAGAAAAATATCTTTAAACTTATAGCTTGTGATAATGCTAGTTTTAGATTATGGCATCCTTAGCCTGATATTCCTGGACCTTTGGTTGTCCATGGATGTATTTCAGGATATCGGAACCTTTTCCCTCAAACAAAAATCTATAAACTTTATGTATGTTTATAAATATATATATTCTAGTTTATAACTGTTTTTTAAATACTCAAAGAATTTGTTTGAAGGGGAAAGGTTATAGACGTTAGGTTTAGATGAAGTTAGAAATATGGTGGTATAGCCACCATAGAACCCATTTAGGGTTCTACATACATTAGCATACAAGGTTTATGGTCTCCTAAGAACAGAGAATGTTTTGAAGTAGATGAGGAGTGTTGTGATTTTGCACTATTATTTGCTAACTGGTTGTCCTTACACTATAGGAAGTTATTGACTATGGTACAGTGAATAACATTTTGCTATATATGATGTAATCAGTCTTTAAAGTAAATTCTGGTGTATGTCCTGCTGTTGAAGTTTGATCAGAGTTTATTAGTCAAGCTATTAGTGACCATAGGAAAGACTTCTACAATATTAAGGCTAAGTGTCACACCTGAAAGACATTTCAGCTTTTATTCTCCCAATTTTATAAAACAGGTTGAAGACCTGGAAGAACCTAAGCCCAAGAAAGTCAAAGAGTCTTCTCCTAGAATGCAGGACTCACTTGTAGCAGAGGATGATGCCCTTGAGCTGGATGAAACTCCTGAAGATGTAATTCATTTTTGTTTCTTTCATTGAGTGTGAGACAAATAAGAACTGCAGAGTTTTAAGTCTATAACTTTTGTCATCTTTTAAGGAATATTTTTATCATCTGCATTTGTCATAATCATATCTTTTCAGAGGTTCAGTAGAACTTACATTTAACCTTCATTTCTTGTTTCTTCTGTAGCGCATCCTTTCATGCAGAAAAGCTGGGTCCATAATGCGGGAAGGAAGGGACAGAGTTGTGAATCTTGCAGTGGACAAGACAGGCAGGATTCTTGCTTGCCATGTGAGTACCAGGCTTAAAGGAGAAATAACAAGGGCTATACTGTTCCTTTCAGGTACTTCTGTTCTTTCACGTTCGGTGTAAAGATGGGTTTTTTTCTTTTTGTAATGTTAATAATCATTGTGTGGTACTTTGTGGATCTATAATCCTTATTTTGTACTTGCATAACAATACTATAATTATTTTTGTTAGCAATCATTTATTAAATGTTGAATTTTCTAAGCAATATTAAAATACACACCTTTTTTCTAGTCTTCAAAGCAGTGCTGTAAGTAGGAAATGGTATTCTCACTTTAGAGATGAGACAACACAGAGATTTTTGTTCAACATAATTAGTAGGGGGAAAAATATTACTGTTTAGATTTTACTGTGAATAAGTTAAATTACAGACTGCCTCTCCTGGACTCACAACAACCTTTTTTCCTTTCTAGGGAACTGACTCTGTGCTAGAAGTGTTTTGTATCCTGTCTAAAGAGGAAGTTCAGAAGAAAATGGAGAAGAAGATGAAAAAAGCTAGAAAGAAAGCAAAGTATGTTTTCTTAAGTTTTTTTCAACAGCTTTGTGAGAAATCATTTACAAACAACAGAACTCACTCTTCTACTTTTTAAATTTTTATTGGTGCATTATAATTATACATAATAGTAGGATTTATTATGTTATATTTGTACATGCACATAGCATTATTTGATCAGTCTCATTCCCCACCATCTTCCTTTAAGTATCCTGGGTAAGCCACATATTACTGAGAAAAATCATGGCTTCTTTAAGGAACAACTTTATTACTAATTACTGTTAAAAGCTAGAGAAGAATTTGTGAGTCTGAGTCCATGTTGAATTTTTTTTGGGGGGGGTGCATCTTGAACATATTTCTGAGTCTTGGACTGAGAGAGAACTAGAAAGAGATAACAGAGTTTTTAAAACAATTTTTAAACTATTTAAGCTCAAAGGCTAGCAGTTTGCTTTTAATGGCAGTAGCCTATAAGGAAGGAAGGTGGATTGTGTAATGTGCTGAGAAGAAAGACTGGACTTTTATAGAATTGAATTTTGAGGGAAATATAACTTTGAAATAGGTCATTATAGTCATAGAAATCCATTCTCTGATAGTTAAAATTTAGCACATCTTTTAAGACCTTTTCTGGTTTATATGACATGATTAGACTGTTGAGTACAGGACAATGAGTTGGTTTTTTTTAAAGTCTTAAAGTTAGAAAAGTGTATTAGAAAGACTTCAGTGGAAATTTTTATCATCCCAGGAAATTTTATGAGCTCTTGCATCCAGAATGTATTTTTGAGGTTACCCATTAAGTGGAATAATAGTTTACATTGATTAATACTCATGGTAATCATGTGTAGTTAAGTAACTTGCTCAGAATCTATATAGCTTGTTTTCCAGTGGGCAGGATTTTGGACTGGTAGAATAGGGCTGCTTCTAGAAACGTGATAGTTGATACTCTTTTTTTTCCTCACCCCTCTAGGTTAAATTCTTGCAAGGGGGAGGAAGAGGACCTTGAAATCAGTGTTGAAATGACTCTGCAAGATGAAATCCAACGAGTGACTAATATCAAAACTTCTGCCAAAATCAAGTGAGTAAAAATATGGTATCTGAAGTTATTATAGAACGGTAAGCCACAAAGTATTATTGTTTTTTGTGTGTGTTTGCATGCTGTCTGTATAAATTATATTTTTTGAGACCGTGATCAATCACTCTGTCAAATGTCAAACTCTGTTACTATTGCCCGCATCTTGGGCCCACCTACTCATGTCATATTTGCATTATTATAGCTGTTTGTTAACTTTCTTTTCGTGTTTCCAATTTTAAAAAAGTATTATGTCTCATGTTCAGAAAGGATTTTAAATGACTTGTGAAAAATATATACACAAAAATAAGATACACTTCAGAACCACAACCTGAGCCCAGGATTTTTTATTTAAAACACTGTACTTGACTACTATTCAAGACTCTGAGCAATCTTATTTGTAAAATTCTTTATATTTCTTCATATAAACTGAAGACATTGCAGAGATTTCCCCCTATACAAAGTTAAGTTTGTGAACTGAAGAAGTAGCTAAAACTTTTATGATTGTTTTCCCATGCAGATCTTTTGACATGATTCATTCACCCCAAGGGGAGTTAAAGGCTGTGTTCCTGCTACAAAACAATCTGGTGGAATTATATTCACTGAATGCATCTTTGCCTACTCCTCAGCCCATCAGGACAAGCAGAATCACCATCGGGGGTCATCGAAGTGATGTGCGGACTTTGTCATTCAGCTCAGACAATATTGCTGTACTTTCAGCAGCAGCTGATTCCATTAAGATATGGAACAGGTTTGTGAAATAGCTTTCATATATCTTTATTCAGTAGAATTTCTTTTTTTTTTTTTTTTTTTTTTTGGTATTCTTGACAGTGATTATTTGTTTCTTAAGGCACTGTGTACATTTCTTTTAAAATATATGTTCAGTGCATCTTGACCATAGGACTGTGGGGCTTACACAAGAAAAAGTTGCCTTTTTTTTTTTTTCCAGACTGACATTATTTATTAGCAATATGCATTTAAGGTTCCAACAATAATAAAACAAGAGTTTCTCTCATGACATGATAGTTAATTTAGTTTTGTTACTGCAGATGTGTCTTTGTATATGTGTACAATCATATGATTTTCCTTTCACTTATACAACAACATCTTTTTTGGATCCAGTTTTTAACAATTATAAAGTTATAAGGATTTATGTGCAAATGTTTGTGTTTTTTTTTTTATTTTTTTAATTTTTTATTTTTTTTATTGGTTGTTCACAACATTACAAAGCTCTTGACATATTTCATACATTAGATTGAAGTGGGTTATGAACTCCCAATTTTACCCCAAATGCAGATTGCAGAATTACGTCGGTTATACATCCACAGTTTTACATAATGGCCAATTAGTAATTGTTGTATTCTGCTACCTTTCCTATCCCCTACTATCCCCCCTCCCCTCCCCTAAAAAGTTGCCTTTTTATGTTTGGTTCATTTTGATCATTTAGTAAATGGCTATTGAATGTAGTGACACATTTGATTTCTACATCTATGCATCACTTAACAAAAGGGACACATTCTGAGAAAAGCACACAGTAGGTTTTTATACCTCAGCACCAACACAACATGAATAATGCATTACACTTAATATTGCAACAGTATCAATATCACTAAGCAATAGGAATTTTTTTTCCATTAATCTTATAGGATCATCTCATATGCAGTCTCTTATTGATCAAAATGTGGCATATGACTGGTAGATGAACATGATCCTATAAAATAAACTTTTCTTGTAGTGAACAGTCTGGATGCTAATTCAACTTATATTACTTATGCTTACTTATTTCCTGGTAATGATAGAATAGGTCCTGTGAAGCCCAACAGATACTTTCCCTACCCTGCTTTTTCTATTATCTCTGTTCCTTAAGATTATAAGGTTTCTGCAAAGAAAATAAAAATATGGTATAATGTAATATATTTTTTCTTGAGTATAACTGGGTTTGAGCCAGGATTATTAAGACTTGTCTTCTCTCATGTTGATCTCTGTGTGGCTAAATGTATATCAAATTGTGTATACCAACAGTTAAGAAGTGTGAACAGGTTGCCTTACTAAGAGTTCTTTTTTCCTTTCTCATAGGTCTACACTGCAGTGTATTCGCACAATGAACTGTGAATATGCACTTTGCTCATTCTTTGTACCTGGTGATAGGCAGGTGGTCATAGGAACAAAGGTAAACTGGGACTTTGCTTTGAATTTCTGGGGACTTTTTTATTCAATATCTTAAAATTGTTTGAAAAATGTGGTTTTTTTTAAGCAAATGGTAAATATATTAGAGCTAGATAATATGGAAGTATGTTTATTGTCCTTTTTGGGGGGCATTTTTAAAAATAAAAAATCTTTTCTTGATTTATCATAAAAATATGTCAAATTATGAAGAAAAAAATTGAAATCATGATCCTGAGATGGCTGCCATTTATATTTGTTAATCATTCTTTCATACATCTTTTTATGAACATATATGTAATTGTTTTAATTGGTGACAAAATGTATTAAGATTAATGATAAATTAAATTAAATATCTGGTATCATGTTTGACAGATAAAGGCAATAAAATATAAACAAACTTCTCAAGTACTCATTCTTAGATGCTAATCAATTTGAGCCTAAGCAGACGTGGATTCGACTTCAGATTCTCTGTATACAAAATGGGTAATTTGAAGCAAGTCTCACAACTTGGAATATTCCTTCATCTATATAACAGGAGGGTGACATTTGCATTTAAATCCTGGCTCTGTCATCTACTAGATATTTGAGCAAGTAACCTTAACTTTATTAGCCTTGATTTTTCACAGGTGCAGTGATATTAACAACACACTTCACAGGGATGCAGTATTACTTAGCATAGAGACTGGTCCACAGTAAATAACTAGTAGATAATAGAGCTGGTAGCAGAAGTAGCAGTAATGGTGGTGATAGTAGTGGTGAGAATAAAATTGAATAATGTATGTGGGGTGTTTTGAAGCTGCTTTGTAAATATTTGTCATCATTATTCTCTTAAACCTGTGCCTTATTTGTGTGAATTTTATTAGAAGAAAATCTGTGTATTATTAAATGGATATTTTTACCATGTGAAAAATATGATACATTAGAAAGATTTTAGATTGAATATCAGAGAAACAGCATTAACATTTGAATTAAAAGTTTCTTATTTTTTTATTCTTTCTTTCAACAAATGGCCACCTAATATTTGCTATTGGGAAAGCATTTTGTAAATTGGTTGGAGCACTGCGTATATAAGTAGCATGCAGTCCCAGACCTAGTGCCTGTGGTTGGTAGGTATCTGTCACGACATTTGAGAGATATTGTGGATATAATCTCCATTTTACAGATGATAAAAACAGGTTCATGGTGATGAATTCTCTGGTGGTCACAGAATAAGGAAGAGGCAGATAAGGTACTCGAGTCTTTCAGCTTACCTTTACCACCACATTGTGCAGAAGCTCGTCACATAGCCAGGCTTTGCCTTTGTGAGTATGTTACATACTGGCTCTGTGATGGAGTTACAGAAAGTTGTGGCAACAATGACAGTGACAGGATTACCACAAGGTTGTGCAGTATGGTGCCAAGGTTAATTCAACATGTCAGTAGGGTATTTGAAAGCATTTATTCAGATGGGGAATACAGAGCATGGGATACATTTCCTTAGGCGTTTCACATTGTTCCTGGTTGGTTGTGAAATCTTTTCTAAATTGTAAAAGCATGAATCATGGGTTGTAGAAGTGCTCATTAGAACTGTGTGCATTTTGTGTCTTTCCAGACAGGGAAACTGCAGCTTTATGACCTGGCCTCAGGAAATGTGTTAGAGACAATAGATGCCCATGATGGAGCTTTGTGGTCCATGTATCTCTCACCAGATCAGGTAGTTGAACTAGATTTTAAAGCTGTGGACTTCAGCTCTATGGTTGCATTTCCCAATTTTTATGTCAAGTTTAATATCTGTTCTCTTGAGTTTTCTTTAAAGAATAAAACTTTAAAGGAAAAGTGTGCCTAATCTTCATAATTCTTGTATGATACCATCTCATATATCTGATAATGTGATTAGCTGTCATTATGAAATGAATTCTGGTTCAGTTGCTCTTGACTATCAGCAACATGGCATCAAATTACTTATCCTTACAATTTTTCAAACCATAGTTTTTAATCCTTGAGAAGAAATGTTCTCTTGAACAGCACAATGCAGAGGGTAGATTTCTGTTTCTTTTTTAGTAGAAATACTTTGGCTATATAAGTCTAGCGTTTTCAGAAAATCTATAATCCTAAGCCTTTATGAGTCAATAAAAGTTGGAGTTACCCTGGAGACCTATATATTCATTCTAGTGATGGTGCTGGTTGCCCTAAAGATTTTGGCATCATGTTTTTTGACAATACCTTAAAAAGAGATTTTGGCCTAGTCATTTAAATATTCAAAAAAATAATCTAGAGTTTAGAGTGACAAATGTCATTTGAGATAAAGTATTAACAGCAACTTGCGTATGTAGCATTCTCTTTTCCTTTAAATTATGTGATTTTTTGGTACAACAAAGTGAAGGTTCATGGAAATGTTGTTTCTTGGGTTATAAATCTGTGAGAGCACAATAGACAACTGAGATTCAGTGATCTGACTCCTTATTTTGTGTGCTTTACACCAACTTTATGCTATAATGGGTCTGGTTTCTTGGAAAAACATTTCAAACATGTTTTAAACAGATGTATTACAAGGATAAATTTATACCTTCTCAGGTGAAATACTTTTAATTAGTTAGATTGCCATTCTATTTACATTTGTCAAACTAGTTTTAATTACTTCTTTATAGCAAATTCTTTTGATTATTTCATTCTTGTGTGAGCAAAAATTCCCACAATGTTCATTAAGGATTTTTCTTCCCAATGCAAACAAAAATATAACTAGGACTTTTCCTTAGTTATTAACTCTGTCTTTTGTGGGTCTGTGCTAGGAGTTTCTCAAATAAGGTATATAGCAGCAGTCCCAAAAGAGACAATAGAAAAGGTTTGGGAGAAACACATTTTTCTAAATTCTTATCTTGTGTTTTTAAATAAAAAGCTTTTTCATTATTTTGCTGTGTCTTCTTTGCAGAGTTTCTATGCTAAAATAGTCTGTAACTGAAATGTCATTTAATTTCCAGCGGGGCTTTGTGACAGGTGGTGCAGATAAATCTGTCAAGTTCTGGGATTTTGAGTTGGTGAAAGATGAGAAAAGCACCCAAAAGAGGTAAGTGGAAATTTTTTGTGTCCATTTTTTTTGGAGTGAAAAACGGGGAGCCATTGAATAACCTTTTGACATATGTAGCTGTGTTGTACTCTAAAACTGGGAATTTTCTGATTGTGGAGTACTTATATATGTATATTTTTTTCTTGACGCTTTCTATGGTGCTAGACTTTCTGTGAAGCAGACCCGAATGTTACAACTAGATGAAGATGTTCTCTGTGTCCGTTACTCTCCCAATCAAAAGCTGTTGGCTGTGTCTTTGCTGGACTGCACTGTGAAAATTTTCTATGTTGACACATTAAAGGTACATTGGTTATGCCTGGAAATATTTTCTAATTCTGATATTCACAATTTGGCTTGAGATTCTAAAGAGGTAATTTTGACTACACCCAGCAGTAGTATATTTCTAAAAACTTGTGTGTGAATCAAAATATTATAAGTGCAAAGGGAAGAGTTTTTTTTAAAGAGTTCTATTATTCATAAACTTCATGTAAATCGAGTAATGTATGGTGCACATGTTCAGGAAATCTTTCAGATAGAAAATTCTACTATAACCAGTAGAATTTTAAGAGCATTTCTAGGTGTCCTAGTCAGTAACTGCACACTTGGCTATACATTACCATCATTAATTTATTACTGGACCCCATGCCAAGAGTGCTGTTAGGCCAGAATAGGGAAATATTTTTGTGAAACAAATGTTCCAGTCTTTTCAGCTAAGAGATCCAAAGAACATCTCTGTGCTACATTCTATCTGAGGCAGTAGGCTTCAGGGGGCTCCTTGCTTTCACTGTGTTGTAGTACTCCTGGCAAGTGCATGTAAGCTCTGATAGACTCAAGTAATCATAACTAGCTGTCTTCAGTGCCTTGTGTCAGAATATATGTAAACGATCCAGAAATGCCTTTAGTTATTTGAAATTTGTATTTCAGATGCATATGTAATAAATTATACCTATGTTTTTAGACAGATATAAATTATTTATGTTCTTTTTCTCCTGTATTTAGTTTTTTCTTTCATTATATGGACATAAACTACCTGTTATATGCATGGACATCTCTTATGTAAGTAAAGCTTAATTTGTGTCTCAGTAACAAATTAACTTATTATTGTCTAAATTTCTGTAATTGGTAGAGTACTCTGAAAATGAAACACTAAAAAGCCATCCTCCTTTGTTTTGTGAAGAAGGAACTTGGCTTAATATTTGGATATTATAGTTAATTTTCCATTATGTGTATTTTAGTCTCTCAGCCAGAATCTCATATTTTCCAGTACCTTGTTATGATTAATAGTGAGAATATATGTTTAAAAAACAGTGTCTATTCTGTGTGAAAGGGGAAGGAATTGACCTCATAGCTTTCTGATTTGTACATTAACAGAAACATTTGTGCACTGAGAAAGGAAAGATAAGAGGATGCTACATATGCAAGAAAGGACAGATAAAATGACAGAGGATTATAGGATTCAAGGCTAGGTCATAAACATTTTAGTGGATTCTTTTCCAGTCTCTTTTCTCCTCTGTCCTCTTCTACTGTTCGTCCAAATCCCATTGCAGAAATTAAGAGATTCTTTTTCCTATTTAACAAAGCAAATAGGTAATCCTATATCAAAGCACAGCACTCCACTGTGGCAGTACAAAAATATTGAAGCTACAGAGTTCATGCTTTCTCCTTAATTTTTTGGTTTTGAAAGAAATGAGTTAAATGTTCTGGTTAGCTTTTATCTAACTTGCAAACTTAAAATACTAAGTAATGTTATATTTCTCTTTCATATAGGATGGAGCACTAATAGCAACTGGCTCTGCTGATAGGAATGTGAAGATTTGGGGTTTGGATTTTGGGGACTGCCACAAGTCTCTCTTTGCACATGATGACAGGTAGGTATAATCTTCTCAAAGGCTTCCCTTGGAGTCACCTGTAAGTGTCCTTTCCCTAGAGCATCTGTGTCTGTTATTCAGTGTTCTCCAATAGTGATAAGTTAGAAGTTTAATGTCGTCAGACACTCTAAAGCTAACTGGTCAGAAGCCATTCTTGTATATAGGACTCATATATAATCTCTTCTTATGACACTTGAATACTTTTCTCCCTTTTCAGTGTGATGTACCTACAGTTTGTACCTAAGTCTCACCTCTTTTTTACCGCTGGGAAAGATCATAAGATTAAGCAGTGGGATGCAGACAAATTTGAACACATACAAACTCTGGAGGTAATCTTACCTATACTGTTTGATCAGTACTTAAGAATTATTTTTCAAATATTTATATCACCCACTAGTATAAACATGTAGTGTTCTATGATGAGTTATTCTTATTTGAGTTCTTCTGGTTTTCTTTCTCCAGGGGCACCACCAGGAAATATGGTGCTTAGCAGTCAGCCCCAGTGGAGATTATATTGTATCATCATCCCATGACAAATCTCTGAGACTTTGGGAGAGAACAAGGGAACCTCTTATCCTTGAAGAAGAAAGGGAGATGGTAAGAACTTTAGGCTTGATTCAGATATGCTTGTGGGTAACTGACAGTCTGACACAGCTTAAGTTTTCTCTTTAGTGTAGTCATATGTCTTTCAAGAACCTTGTTTCCAAGATGGTTGTCGTCCATTTCAGAAACCAGGGACAGTCAAAGATGTCATAGGGGAATTATGTTTTGAAAGAAGCAATGTCAGCCTGTTTTTATTTCTCTTTATGTAGAGACCATGTTTTTTCTCTCAAATTAACATATCTGTCTCATGACAGCAAAGGGAAGCAGAATATGAGGAGAGTGTGGCTAAGGAAGACCAACCAGCAGTAAGTAAATCTTTCAAAACCCTGAAATTTTCGATAATTTTAAGAATTCCTAAATGGAATTAGAATTAGGGATAGATGCCACAGTCATCACTAGCTGATTTAAGTATCTGTGTAGTGCTTTTTATTCAATTTTATGTCCTAATTTTGTGAGACAAGTCATTGACCAAATTTGGTATTGAATAATTGTCACTTTTTTTTAAGTGAAGGTGAGAATTATTTAGAACAAAAATAAAAATAAAAGAACTTTGAGAAATCGAACACTAACTATTTTTAATGCATATATAATACTGAGCATAGTGACTGGCACTTACTAAACAACTATAGTATCTGATAACTATGTTAACATTTTTATAAAATAATGTCCTTATTGTTTTTATTGACCCTTTAACTTCTGTCAGTGATATATTTTTGTTTTTGGCAGGTTCCAGGAGAGACTCAAGGTGACAGTTATTTTACTGGAAGGAAAACTATTGAAACAGTCAAAGCAGTAAGTTGATCTAGAATGTAGTATCTTATTTTTTAATAGGATCCCAACTGCTTAGCAAAAGTCTTTTGTATCAACCACATTGTAGCCCTTTTGTGGCAAAGAGGAAATTGAAGATGGGGAGCATAACCTCTGTTTTCTTCCTTGTAACCAAGGACAGGAGTAGTCCTGTGTCAGGACCTGGATTCTAGCAAGGAAATCTTCTGAATGTGGCACCTTTTAGGTGCTCCTGGGAACTGCCCTACTCATGGTGTCCAGACATGATCTTACCTGAGTTCCTGGCACTTCCCCTCTTCTTTAATACATTAAAGAAAAAAGAAAATCAAAGACATCTTAAAAGTGCTATTTGGCACTGTATTGGCACATCTTTATTAGTCAGGCTTTCTAGTTTCACTGTCCTGTGATGGTGGAGTTGTTGTGATAGTTTCTCTCCTTTGTCATCATCTGTGTAGGCTGAAAGGATCATGGAGGCCATTGAGCTATACCGAGAAGAAACTGCAAAAATGAAAGAACACCAAGCCATTTGTAAAGCTGCAGGCAAAGAGGTGAGATAGTCCATTAAATTAAGCACTGAGAAATATTATAAATACTATTACTGAAAAAAAAACATCATTTTGGGATTTATTAACTCATTAGGATATAAAATAAATGCAATAAGATATTTTTGAATTCAAAAATTAGAAGAAATGGAGTAACTGATGGAGGAAGGAAGCTTAATCTTAATAAGAAGGGGAGGCTAGGAAATTATAGACTGAGGTGATTAACATACTGAGCAGAAACATATTGAGTTCCTACATTTGTTTGGAAAGCAGGGTAACCATTTCACATTTTTAGATGAAATGTATTTGCTAAACTCATTTAAAAGTACTTAGAAACTAAAAAGCCTGACAATTCTTTTATGCTTATCCAGCAATTTCAATTTTTAGGGTCTCTTTTCTCTGCTTGAAAATGTAAAATACTATTATTACTCTGTAATATGGCAAGTACCATCAAAGTCTTAATTAATGACTCGATTTAATAATTTCTTCATAGGTTCCTCTTCCCATCAACCCCATCTTGATGGCTTATGGCAATATTTCAGTGAGTAGAATGTCTAAGGGTTTCCCATTGGTTATTCAAACATTGCTTTCAGAGGAAATGAGAAGGCATCATAATTTGAGAATGGATGTGACAGGAAATCTTTTTTTTTTTTTCTGATTTCTGTTTCCTTTATTGCTAAGCATGTTGACCATTTTTCATATATTTTGGCCATATATATTTCTTCTTTTGGAAAATGTCTACTTAGATCACTTGCAGGTTTATTTGGGGGTTATTTGGGTTTTTTGTTGTTGTTGTTGTTAAGGTTTTTAGTTGTTTATATATTCTGGATTTCCCTTATTAAAAGAGCTGCTAGAAAAGATTTCATACATTCTGTAGACCCTCTTTTCATGCTCTTCATTCCTTTGCTGTGCAGAAACTTTTTTTTTTAATTTTTTTTATTAGTTGTTCAAAACATTACAAAGCTCTTGACGTATCATATTTCATACGTTTGATTCAAGTGGATTATGAACTCCCATTTTTACCCCATATACATATTGCAGAATCACATCAGTTACACATCCACTTTTTTACATACTGCCAAGTAGTATTCTGCTGCCTTTCCTATCCTCTACTATCCCCCCTCCCCTCCCATCTTCTCTCTGTACCCCATCTACTGTAATTCATTTCTCTCTCTTGTTTTTTTTCCCCTTTCCCCTCACTTCCTCTTATGTGTAATTTTGTATAACAATGAGGGTCTCCTTCCTTTACCATGCAATTTTCCTTCTCTCTCCCTTTCCCTCCCTCCTCTCGTCCCTGTTTAATGGTGATCTTCTTCTCACACTCTTCCTCCCTGCTTTGTTCTTAGTTGCTCTCTTTATATCAAAGATGTTTTGTGTTTAAAAATCTTTTTTTGAATGTTGGCATCCTCTTGGGTATTTTGTATTTCAAAAGGACCATTTTATTGTGACTTCTGAAGTCAACCTCTTCAGTTGTACTGGACTGACATTCTTCTGTTTTCTAGTCCTATGTATCTCAGTGTTGGAAATCCTCAAAAGATTGTGTTTATTTAAATGAATTTTGAAATAAATCTTTAGAGAAATTGACATAAATCAGAGAGAAAGAGAAAGGGAGGGTAATGAGAAAACATGCTTATCCAGCAATCATGAATTACTATGTATATTACCTTCATTCTTCATTCATCGCAAAAATCTTGTGAGTCAGAGTACTTTGTTTGTGGTTGGTAAGGAACAGAGCTTAATTGTGAACCCAAATCCAACTAAGTGTAAACCCATTCCATGTTGCCATTATAGAACACTATCAAGTGAGAGAAGATTCTATGTTTTATTATTGTTGTTGTTTTCAGGAAATTGAAATTATTGGGCTTTAGTAGGAACCAATAAAGAATATCACTAATGGTATTATCTTTCTTTTATAGCCTTCAGCATATGTATTAGAGATTTTTAAAGGGATCAAATCAAGGTGAGTCCTAGGGTACAGTTACTAATGATTGTCAGGTAACAAAATTTATTGAATGCTTATCTGAAAATGAAATAGAGATTACACTTGCTGGTTATTTTCCTTATAAGATTATGTCAAAAATTTTCATGGAAAATAATTCATTACAATCTTTTTGAAATGTGAGAGCTAGGAGGTTTCTCCTAAAGTATGAAGGGAGATGCTTTTGAGAACAAGAAGGGCAGTAGTTAGAATTCAATCAGAAGTGCCAACTATGAACATTTTTTCTTAAAGAGTTCTATAAGCCTAATAACTGATCAGTCGGCATGAGATTTTTTCAGGTTTCTGTTGTTGAATTACTTTCCTGAGTCTTTGAGTTGGTTTTTACCAAGCTTTTAAAGTTTTTTTTTTTTTTACAAGTTTGAGAAGCAAAAGCTGACATATTCATTTCTTTTGATTATTAACAAAAGTAATATTTCATCATGTTTCTTGACCATTATTTTTTTCCTGTGAATTTTTTAATTGCTTTTTGTTTTTGTTGTTGGTTCTTGTACTGTTTTTCAGACTTTTTATAAAGTTTCCTTTGTCATACATTTTTGGAATAATATTTTCCAGGATTTCTCTTTTGGTTTTAAGTTTGACCCACTGAAGGTTATTTTCATAACAAATCACAATATCTACATATGAGCCTTACTAAACATTAATAGGACTATCTAAAGATAATGATGAAACTTTACTGAAGAAACGTAAAAGAAAATTGATTAATGGAGGTAAAAGACAAACCAAGATGAGAAGATTTGGTTTTCTTTAATTAGTAGGTTTTTTATCCCATTGAAATATTCTTGAGATTTTTAGTTAGAATTGATGATATAATACTAGAGCTAGTATTAGAGGGAGCAAGCCTCTGAAAAAGCAAAACTAAAATAATGTCAGAATTAATCATTATTGTAGATTGAAAAGTCCTAGAACACACACATAGAAGAACTCGATATATGGTAAAATAAATATAAAAATAGAATATTCAACAAAAGTCTTTGGGGACATTCATCTAGAAAAAACTTTCAGATTTTCCTACCTACCATGCCACCTTCATATATGCATTCCAACTAGAATAAAAAATATAAAAATCAAAACAATGAAGAGAGAATCATCCAGAATATAAATGAATATTTAATTAAACACAGAATGGGCACGATCCATTCTGGTATAAAAGCAGTAGAAAAATAGTTAAGGAAGAGAATTAAAAATTGACCATGTTAAAAAATGTGATATCTTCAATATTTTTTCTTCTTCAGTGAACTGGAAGAGTCCCTACTTGTGCTGCCTTTTTCTTATGTTCCAGACATTCTTAAGCTCTTTAATGAATTCATCCAACTGGGCTCTGATGTTGAACTTTTATGTAGGTGCCTCTTCTTTCTCCTCAGGTAATATCTTTTTCCAAAAAATACCATGTCCTCTCAGCAGAACAGCTGTTAACTGACATCTTTGATACTTTGGGATTAAAAATCTTATGTTTTTGTTTCAGAAACTGTTATAGAAATTGTCTTCTGACATAGCATATTTCTGACCCTTTGGAATCATTTTGCCTTTTGTAGTGTTAAGGCAGTGCTGAGGAAAGCTTAACCAGTGATAGATCTTCAAAGTGCAGTCTTAGTGGCTTTGATGTCAGTTACTAAATAGCCAGTATATTTATTTGTTGTTTCTTTTAAAGTTTAGGCTGGTTTTTTTTTTCCGCATAATGTTTTAAATAGTTAGTTTATATCTCTCATCTATACATGTGAAAATGGAAATGTGGGAGCATATATGGAGAGACACTTTGAACATACAGAGCATATGTTCATTAGGCTATATTCTTAAATGTGAAGAATTCTCTGCAAATATGTAGTTGAGAAGAATATATTTTGAAAGACTTAACACTCTTAAGTTATTCTGCTCCTCTGTTCTCTGAACCTCACTCTTAGGCAGTTAGCAGAGGTCAAGAATAGGGACAAAAATTGAATATTCCTTAAAATAACTGCTAAGGAAAAAAAAAAAAAACTGGTCGGGCAATACCAAACAGTTAAACAAAGATAGTAATTGACTAGAATCAAATTTGGTGAATTGGCATGTTTAACTCTCTATTCATTATATTCAGGATAGTAACAAGAGAAAACAGTCCAAGAACACATACGTAGAAGTTACTGTTACTGTTTATATTATTCTTTTGTGATTGTTATGATTTGGGATATGTTTTGAAGAGAGAAACTCATATTTAATAATCTTTTATAGCTATGGCATGTATACTATTGAATCAGAGTGAAATCAGAGTTAACTGGTTCTATGAGAAACACTGAATACTTATAACTGTTCAGAAAGTTGTAGGTGAGCACTACCTGGCGGGTTGTCAGAGCAGGACTGACCATTTAGGGCATCTTGGTACTCTAGATCAGAATTTGACTGTCTGATGAGTGACTCTCCTCCTTTTTTGCTCTGCCTTTATTAGTAATGTTAACATTTTTTAGAAGGAACATTCTGTCTCTGAACTTTTCATAATATACCACTAACATAATCTGTGGCCACTGGGTAGATTGCTGGGAAAAGAAATAGCTTGCAAATAAGTGTGGTAAGGTTTAGTACAGTATTTTTTAAATTGTTATCAAATTGAGTTAAACTGTCTGAGCAATAAACTGGTTTAGCTTTTTTTGCTAGAAGCATTTCTGTACTCCCATTTGGTGAAGTGAATCTGTATTTTGTTGTTGCTTTAATATATTATCTTTTTGCTATTTCTAGAAAGATTGGACCAGAACTTTTCTTTGCAACATGACTCTTTTTTGTTTTCCTATTAGAATTCACTTTGGACAGATCACTAGCAACCAAATGCTTGTGCCAGTGATAGAGAAATTAAAGGAAACAACTATTTCAAAAGTCAGACAAGTACAGGTAAGTTTTTTTGTATAGAATTATAAGAATCAGGCAAATCTCAACATATATGTGACTTAGAGATGTGGAGTATGTTGTGCCTTATCTTTAGCAATACCAACCACATATAAAATCTGTTTGAGATAAAGTTTTTGTTGGTATTGGAAACAAATGAAAATCCCTAAAAACTCCTCAGGGAAGGAAGGATATGTAACCATATCTAAAGCTGTGGTTCCCCTAGCTTACTTATGCTGCTGAAGTGTCAGAAAGCTTGTTTAATCTTTCTTTTGTTCCTCTCTAGGATGTTATCGGCTTCAATATGGCAGGTCTTGATTATCTCAAAAGGGAATGTGAGGCAAAAAGTGAAGTTATGTTTTTTGCTGAGGCTACTACCCAATTGGAAGAAAAGAAAAGGAAGAGGAAAAAAAGAGAGAAGCTAATTTTAACATTGACTTAGAACTGAAATGTGGTATCTTTTCTACTGTTTCCTTAAAAGAACTTCTAAACTTAGCATGGCGCCATCTTAAAAATGCCAAATAATAGAAGGTTATGTTGTGGAAGATCTCAGAATATGGCTCCCAGCTTTGCCTGAGGGAATTTCAACATGAGTCTATGATCTGGCTCCACTTATTGGACTTGAAAGTGTGACTAGCTTAAAAATCTTTGTGCTTGCAGCAGATTAAGTCCCACAGGAATTGCCTCCTTTTTATTTTCTAGCAGGGAACAAAGAATTTTTAAAATTAATTATTTATTTCACTGCAGTTGGAATTAAAATTTCAAAAGGGTTTTTTAAAAAATATTTCTTATGGCAGATAATTTGTTGTACGCTTTGTTACCTTCATACTAGGTTTTACCTCCCTTTTAAGACATTCAGGTGCATAATTGATTTTCATTTGCCCATTATGCAGTGTCATGGACTCATGAAGCTGAAAAGGACCACAAAAATTATCTAGAAAGGTCTCTTTAAATGTAACTTCTTACAGGTTGTTATATCTGTATATAAGATCTTAATTGCTCTTTATACATTTCTGAATAAAATAGTTGTTTCTAATTAAAGAGTAGTCAAGGTAAGATGCCTTGCTGGTCTTCTGAGTGATTGATGCTCTGTGTTTATGTTCATGTACATGTTTATGTTCATGTTCATGTACATACATGGTATATTTGGGGAGGTGGGAATGTTCTAGGTAGAGATTGACACAAATACCTTTGGAACTGGGCTTTTCTTTAGGGAAATTTTTATATTACTAATTAAGATTCTTTGTTACAGCTTGTATTCAGATTTTTTATATATTCTTGAGGTAGTTTCACTTTTTATATTTCTATAAATTTGTCCATTTCATTTAAATTTCTGTGTTTTGGTGGTACAGTTTTCTTCCCAGGCTCAGAGTTGCAGGTCTTGTGGCTTAGAGATTTATATCCCAAACCATGAATCTGTTAATTAAGCGTAACACTAAAGTGTTATGAAATGAGAGAAAGGATACAGTGGTGTAATTTGTTGGGCAGTATAATAATAAAGAATGAATTTTGGCTTAAGAGTTTTGAAGGCCTAACTATGGAAAGGCAAGAGAATAGAAAATATGCAGTCTATGTGATATCTACCGAATTGATCTTGTTTGGGCAGCTATTCCTGCCACCAAGAATTTTCCATTAACATTTTTGATGATTTATAAACCAAAACAGGTTTCAGGAGGATACTTTAAATGTATATGTCATTATGTCATTATCATCAACAATTGCTCTTATGTTTAAAAAGTGCTGCTTTTCCATAGCTTTACCATCATCTATGATTGACTAGTCTCTTGGACAGAAGTAGGTAATTTAAAGTTATCTCTCTCTGATAAGTGTTATCCTAATCAAAAAGAAATGGAACCTGAAATAAAATGATGAGTACAATAAGTAGCTAAGTTATAACTTTGGTCAAGGTACCTTAAACTCCATAAAAACCCTAAAGACTACTGCCAGACCCTATACAAGGGTTGGGAATACTCAGTTGCCCTTATCTAATCCCTTGCCCTTGAGTATGCCTTAGGCCTAATAATAGGTTTCTGATGAACTGAGTACAACAAAATGGATATCTCACCCAAGATTAGATTACAAAACACTGAACTCTGCCTTTCCCACATTTTCTTAGGGTCTTTTTGCTTGCTTTATGTATTATGAATCAAAATGCCCTAAAGAGAGGCCTACATGCAAGGAACTGCAGGAGAACTACAGACAATATCTAGTGAGGAAATGAAGCCCTCAGTCTTAAGAGCCTGCAAGAAACTGAATTCACTGTATTTACTTGAGTAAGCTTGAAGGCAGATTCACCCTAGTTGAGCCAAAGCATCTCAACTGCAGAGATCTGGATTCTTTACTTACAGAAGCTGTGTGATATAAGTAATTCCTGTTTTGAGCCATTAAGTTTTGGGTAATTTGTTAAGTAGTAACAGACAACTAATACAGCTTCTGTAGAGCAAACTATCTTTTAGATTGTTACTTTATGAAGTGGGTTTAATAGTGCCTACTCAAGAGTTTTTGAGAGGTACTTAAAGGAAACAATGTCACTGTTGTTACTGCATCATTTTAATCACATTAACTGTTAATGTACACAAAGTGGCATTAAGGCATAAGATATTTCTTCTTTTAGGAGTATTCATGAAATTGCTTTTAAGTTCCTGCCAATAGAACCTTTGAATCTTTTAATTTGAAAGCTGTTCAACAGAATAAGACTTATCCAGCTAGAGATGCTAACTTTACTGCTTTATTTTTGGGCTAACTGCTGAAAGTCATAGACCACAATTGAAATCAACCATGCCTCAATTCTTTGGTTCCCATAGTGAAGGCTAAGACTACAGTATTAAACTGTGTACTGGGTTGAATATTGTCCTCTGGACACTTGTGTCCACCTCAGTCCTATGAATGTGACCATATTGGGATATAGGGTCCTTACAAATGTAATTAGTTAAGATGAGATCAGACTGGATTAGAGAAAACGGGTCCTTAAATTCAGTGACTCCTCATAAGAATGCCATGTGAAGATATAGAGGGAGGAGATGATGTGATAGTGGAAGAGTTTGGGATTGGAATGATGTAATCAGAAGCCAAGGAGCACCAAGGATTGCTGACTACTATTAGAAGCTAGGAGAGACTTAGAATAAATTCTCCCTCAGAACCTTTAGAAGGAACCAACCCTGCCAAAGCCTTGTTTCTGACCTCCAGCCCAAACTGCCAGAGAATAGGATCTGTTGTTTTAAACTACCCAGTTTGTGGTCATTTGTTAATGTAGCGCAAGGAATGTGCAGATTTTGCTATCAGGAAGTGGAATGCTGCTGCATAACAAATACCTAAAAATAGTGAAGTGACTTTGGAGTTTGTTCCTGGGTAGGAGCTAGAAGAATTCTGAGTGACATGGTACAAAAAAAAAATCTGGATGGCCTTACAAGAGCCTTTTGGTAGTAATATGGACACCAAGGGCAATTCTGGTGAGATCTCTAAAGGAGGTGAGTACTGTAGAAAAAATCATCTTGGATTCCTATGTTATGAATAATGTTGGTAAAAATATGAACATCATAGATGCTTCTGATGAGACCTCAGCCAAAAATAGGAAACATGGTATTGGGTTGAATACTGAAGGAAAGGTTATCCTTCCTGGAAAGTAACAGAAAACAGCCAAATTCAGTGTTCTACTGATGACTAGAAAATAGAACTTAATAATGAATTTGGATATTTAGCTGAAACTCACAAGCAAAATATGGAAGGTGTGACCTGATTTCTTGCTTCTAGTGTAAAAATAAAGGGGCAACTGTTCAGCAGAAAGGGATCAGAATATGATTATTTGGAAAATTCATAGCCTCTCCCTTTCCATATTGCAAAAGATGCAATGGTATATTCTGGAGAAATCACTATAGACACCGGGATGAGAAATCTGCTGTAGAAAGTAGGCATTCGACCATGGATCCAATCAACCAACTCAGCAGAATCCAGGAATAGAAACTAGGAATAGAGATCATCCAAGAAGAATCTGGAGAACTGTGATGTCTTACTTGGTATAGACCCCTTGATATCCATGGAAGACTGCTGGTTTTGGGGATATTTTATATCAGCATAAACTGATATAACAGTTCTTAAGGAGACAGAGATGGGACAAAGTGAAGAAAAGCTATTCAGCTTCTCTAATTATGTGAGCAGGAAGCAGGCTGCCCACAGAGTAGAACTGCTGCCAAGGGCCAAGAGGGCAGATCTGATGGAGAGTCCTGGAGGATGGCATTGGTGGAGCCTCCATTGGCACAGAGCACAGGTAGTGCCACAGGTGTTTATTCTCTGTCCTTGAAACCTAATGAAATTTTCCCTACTGGATCACAAAATTGCTTTAGACCATTTTCTCTCTTGGGATGGGGATGTCTATCTTATGCTTGTCCCATACCATTGTAATTTGGAAGCTGGAAATTTGATTCCTAGTTTTACTGGAAAGGTATGAGGTAGAGTTTTCCAGAGGCTTTATGGTGTGATATGGTAACAGACTGAATACAATGCAGATGTGAGAATCTGCTATGTTCTATTAAGCCAAATGTTCAAGAGACTTGCAAAATTGTTAAAAAAAAAATTCACTCATTTAATCTTTGTTTTGGAGAAGTTATTCTATTAAAAATATGTATTTTAATATACTGGTTTATTTTTTTCTAGTTCTAAATTTTTCCAGTTTTAATCTTAGTTTGGTAAATACTGTTAGGTTTTACCCACATACAAAAAAGCTTTTTGAAATCCTCAATAGATTTTAAGAATATAAAAAGAATCCTGAGCCTACAAAATTTGAAAATCATTGGCTTAATTGTAAATTCTTGATTCCAAAAAAGCTGCCTAGGTGCTTTTTGGAAAGTATGATCAACTTATCATATACAGTGAATGTAGTACTTAGAAGAATGAACTATAGACTCACAAAAAATGTTAGACTTTTACTTCCACTTAAGATTATCAGGCCTGTTTCCTCATAAAATAGAAAAAACCTATCGTATTGAAGATTGAATTTGATAATATATAAAAGGGTAACTATTATAATTATTGAATACAAATACTTTCATTCAATGAGGTTAAGTGGTTTCTTGGTTTGTGGCTATAAGAAGAAGAGAACAAACTGAGGTATGTGGCCTCAAATTTGAATGTTTGACAAATCAAATCCCCACTTACTACTTACTGGACCTAATATGGAGAAACTTTACGAGACATGAAGACACCAAGTGTAGAGGAAGGAATTGTAGAAGTCTTCTGGACCATGGGATTTTCTTTTCCCTGGGGAAAATCTTTTGGTCGATTATCATAGTACTTGCTTGTTACAACTGGTAAAATACTCATTAAGGACTATAATTTTCATGACTAAGTTTTTTTTTTTTTGTATATACAAACCCAAATAACATTTTCAAATCATAAGAGTCTTATTTATTTCTAGCAACACTAGCTCAATTTTAGGTACTTTTCTCTCTAGTACAAATTCTACATGAACATGGTTAGGGGTTAGAAGATGGATATCAATATTTTAAGAGTGTCTTCTGTTCTCCCCTATGTATACTTCTTGCCAAACTGTGACTGGCCTCTCTGTAAGGTGCCATCACTATAATCATGCTCCAAACAACATCAGCATCCAAATTTCATGCTTTATTTGGAGGGAAGAGGTCTTGGGAAATGGGCTATAAACTATCATTGACTTTGGAAGTAGATAAAAGATCTTAGAAAACCTCCCTATTCCTTCCCCATCGATCTGTGCCTAATTGATAAATGGTTCTACTCTGTAAGCAAGGAAATGGAAAACTTATTAGCATAAGTTTCCTTGCTATCATCAGCAACAGCAATTCAGGTACTCAGGATCAGTATTTAATAACCTATGGGGACAGGGTAAGATTTAATTCCCAGAAGGAAAAACCAGTTCTTTGGTTATTTTCCTTCTATCACAATGGAAGAGCCTAATCACTATTAAAGATTAAAAAAAAAAAAAAAAAGAAAAGAAAAACCAGGCTGGGGCTGTAGCTTAGTGCTAGAGTGCTTACCTGGCACACGTGAGGCACTGGGTTCCATCCTCAGTACCACATAAAAATAAATAAAATAAAGGTATTATGTCTGTCTACAACTAAAAAATGTTTAAAAAATAAAAATAGGGCTGGGGATGTGACTCAAGCGGTAGCGCGCTTGCCTGGCATGCATGCGGCCCGAGTTCGATCCTCAGCACCACATACCAACAAAGATGTTGTGTCCGCCGAGAACTAAAAAAAAAAAAAAAATCCTATTTTCATTGTAAACCTCTTAACACTCTCTACTACATCCTACTTTATATTTTTCTTCACTGTCCTTGTTTGAATCATAGGCCACATTTTACTTATTTTGTGTATCATCTAAGTTACATAAAGGCGAGGATTTCTGCCCTTCTTGTTTGTTGCTATTTGACTTCATTTTTGCTACTGTGTTATATAATTTTAAAAAATGGGGTATGATTTTCCATTTGTACATAAACTGTGTGATACTCTGCAAATAATGGGTATTAGGTACTTGTGTGATATTAATGTGGCTAGAGACACCAATATGAAGGAATGCCTGTATGATTCAGTGAAAATCCCACCTGTATATCTTCTGCCCCTGCCCCATGAGATTACATTGTTTTAGATGAAAGATTTATTTTGATTTTCTGATATTCCATAGATAGTCAATAACACTGGCATTTATTCAACTTGTAGTTACTTCTAATATACTGTATATCAGGTATCTTTTCAATTTGGATGGATCCTTTAAAAAAATGAATGAAGACACAGTCTTTGTCCTAAGAAATGTAACTTATAATTTTATATGTAGAACTAATGAAGATATGGAGACACATTTTGACATCCATGTTTTTCTCACTCCGATGTAATCTCTACACTATGTATGATTACCCAGATTGATCTTTAAAGGATATTTGCTTCCACAGGTAAGAACAGAACATCATGCTCAGTCATAATCTCAATATTGTGAGAGATGTGTGCTGATCCCTTGGCACCCTCCTCTCCAATAGCCATGGCAAACAGCTCCACCTTCAGCTCTGCCTGCAAACCAGCTGCCACCTATAAGACAAATGTAGCCATAGCAGTAGACACACACACCGAGTTCAAATCCTGATTTTTACCTAATTTAGGCAAGTTACTTAAACTCTCATCTTCAATTTTCATATTTCTAAATTTGGCACTAAATTAATTATAGTTTTCTAAGCATTTAGCAAAATTATTTTCTAGGATTAGGTAGAATTGAGTAAATGGGACCCAGAATAAATTTTTCAAGGGGTAAATCTGCAGAAAAATCATAAGGAAACTAAATGCCAGGCTATTAGAAGTGACACTAAAGGCAAACTTCTGCAATACTCACAATTGTGCTATTTCTTGAATATTAATTGAGAATTTTTTTATTGGCATCCTTGCAGGTGGAAATTAATTTAAGATAACTATAAATGTATCTTAAAATGAATTTAAGAGAATAGGTGAATTCTCTAACATTCCTACCCAATGCCTTGGTCCTAGTGTTCCTAATACAGGATGTGTAGAGTGACAAAGCCAGTAGAGGGAGACAGAATTAGTTTAAATGCAAAACTACGTAGATTTGAAAGCTACATGGAGGAGGCCTGTACCAACAGAAAAGAAACCTGATACATAAAGAAGTAGAAACACAGCAAGGCATGGGCTTCTTGCCTTGTTCCTTGAAAAGAATACTAGCCAGGAAAGAAAGAGCTGTTTATGTTTCTAAGCTGCCTCTCCAGGAGGTGAGTTAAAAAGCAGACTTGGGAACAGTTATCTGGAAAAAAATAAATAAATCAGAAACTACCACATGGAAAGCAATTAGATACAAATGGAATTTTTTCAATATAGTTTTATAAATAATAGAATTGAAAAATGTTTCAGTTTTTTCAACAATGTGCATATATGCATACTGGAGGGGATCCAACAGCTCTGTTCCTGAGAATCAGACCCTCAGTTCTCCAAGCCCAAAAATCAAAACAGGGCTGGGTAATGACGAAATTCAGCATGAGGCGAGCTGGAATATTGCCATCACGCAGGTTTACCCAGGCTTTGAGCATACTCATTTAAAGTTGGCGACTAACCAAGCTGAACAATGGTTAGATTTACATATGGTGAAGTCTATAGATTATATTTTTTGCTAGAGCCAAAACTTACTGTCAAAAAGAAGTGAAAAAAAAAAACTAGAAAAAAATCTTAACAATATAGAGTGAGCTTCAAAGAATACACCCTGGGTTTTTATTATTTATAAAGGTTGATCCAACAGTCATTTCAGCTTTTGGCATAATTCCTACTTTAGATTAAAATGAGATTTACTAACTTCCCAGAACATGAAAGAGGATTTGCTTTGATTTTTGTTTTGCTTTATGTTGTGAAGATTCTGAAATCTTAACATAATACAGTGATGAATTATTTCAGAAAGGCACTCATGAATTTGTGGACTTAGTCTCAACACATACTTTTATTTGGAGTTTCATCCTATGCAATGCTGTTTTTCTGTTGATTATGAGATAACAGAGGTAGAAGTAGGCTAAGACTGTTCTAAACTTCCTCGTTGACAGATAAGGAAAAGGCTCAGAGCATTAACTAACAACATCAGCATTATTGGGGTATAGTCAAGAAGCCAATGGACTTTGCACTATTCCAGACTGACCCATCTATGTGAGGGAATAACAACTCTGCTGCTTTAAGAGATGGAGATCCAGGGAGCATTGTGTACTTGTTACAGTCCCAGATACCCTTGCTAACTGCTCTTCTGAGCCTAAGTTTATAGTCCCATCTGTGATAAATGGTCGTATATTTACCAGATTTCCTACTTCATTCTATCACTTAATCATATGCACCTTGAGTACCTGCCATGTGCCTGGCTCTGTAAGCTCTCTGTGTCTTACTCTTTTTTTTTTTTTTTTAATCAGGGATTGAATTCAGGAACACTTAACCACTAAACAACATCCCCAACCTCTTTTTATTTTTATTTATTTTTGTTATTATTATTATTATTATTATTTTTTAGAAACAGGGTCTTGTTGAGTTGCATAGGGCCTTGCTAAATTGCTGAGGCTGGCTTTGAAGTTGTGATCCTCTTGCTTCAGCCTCCCTAGCCACTGAGATTACAGGAGTGAACCTCATTTTTAACATCCTCTGCATCCAAGCACTATCAGTTGTCATCTGTGAGGATCTCAGTTTGCTGAGTGAGAAGAAAGGGATGTTAAAGCAGCCAAATGATGCACTAACCAACCTGCAGGCATGATTTTATTACATTTAGTGATGAACTTTTGTTTACAATGTACCATATTTCTGAAATTAGAACTTAAAATAAGTGGGTAGGGATATAGCTCAGTTGGTAGAGTGCTTGCTTTGCATGCACAAGGCCCTGGGTTCAATCCCCATCAACCCCCCTCCCCTCAAAAAAAAGAAGTTAAAATAAGTGACAATATATCATTAATATACGTTTCTTGTCACATCTCATTTGGGGGAATGTATCAAAGTCAGAACAAGTTATCAAATTCTTTTTTTTTTTCAGAGAACTTTGGAGAACTGAATCCGCTGATGAGTAGCTACCCATTTCTTAATATGGCATTAAAAAATATTCTCTGGCAAAAACCAAGAGAGCAAACCAGACTTGTGTAAAATAGAATAGAATAATTACTGGGTTTTCTGAAGGATTTTTCACTTTGCAGAAGAATTTAATTTTAAGTTTAACTTTGAAATTAGTCTTCATACAGAACTGTACATAACCATACTCCTTGAGCAAGTGAGGGGAGCTTCAGAAATGTTTCTGTAACTAGAAGTTTAACTCTGCTTAACACAGGATCTTTCCCATGGTGCTTAAAGGAAACAAATGATATCATGCCACATATTTTATCAGTAGTAGGAATGTTTTGCTTATGATAGTAGAAAAATTATACCTGGTTAGAACTGAATGGGTAGAATGGTTTAAAAGGTCACTTCACTGGGAACATAGAAATCCACAGGTGCATGCACACACGTACAACAGATAACACATAATAAGACTTACAGGCCCAGGTTTGTAAGTCACTTTCAGTCCAGTACTGGGTGCGGGCTGCTTCACTCTAAACCTACGAGGAAAAAAGATGGAAATAAATGTATGCTATAATGAAAAATGTGAGCAATTAACTGGGATGTTATACAACCAAGGAGGTGTTAATATTTGTTACACAGGAGCCAAGGGTCCATAGCATTAGAAAAACAACCATAATATTCAGTTGGGAGGAGAATTTGGGGCCCATTTCACAACTGCCTTTCCGGCAGGTTTCATCAACATTCAATGGACTCCAACCTGAGTTTCCACCTTTTGTTATTGTAGCTGATGAGCAGCATGGGCCTGGACAGAGTGTTGTGAGTGTTTGGCTGGTGTGTGCATTTCAGCGTAGCTGCCAGGGTGAGTGCAAATGCTGGCAGCCAGATCATTAAACTGAAGAATAAAGGCTCTTTTGGAAAGCAGTGGAGCATGGGAGCAAGTCCTACTCTGTCTTGGAAATAGGGTTTGCATGTTCCAGGAGAGGAGAAACAGAAAGGGCTCAGAAAAGGTTGAAGAACTTGGAAAGCTCTATTTTCACCAACGGTGCTTATTGATCTCTTTCCTTTCCTGTGGTTTGTGGGTTCCGCATGAAGGTTAAAGACGGGGAATAAATTAAAACGCCAACGAGATCCTGCCTCCACACTGATCCCAAACCCACTTCTGCCAATCCACTTTGCTGTCCGTTCCATCATGGCTGAATTTAACAACCTGTGGAATTAAATCTCTAAAACTAGAATTCTGTACTGGAGAGAGGATCTGCATGGATGAGTTTTATTAGTTAACTGTATCTCTCACCACGTACTTTGTTGGCAACAACTTAACAAACAACAACAGAACACAATAATATCTGAACTGGTGGCCTGAGTCCCTCATCAGGTTGTTTTCCTAGAGAAGCAAACATTATTTCTAGTATTGGGGATTTGCTTCAACTAAAAGGTGACAGTAATCTTTCAAATTGGATGGTTTCATTATGCTCCTCCATTTGATTTACAATCCTGAATCTAGAATCCCAAACATTCTTAAAGAGCTTTCCATTATAATAATGCTGCAATTGAAATCTTTATTCAAATTTTATTTAAAAAAACCCCACAACACTCCCCTGTACATTTGATTCAAAATAGAGGACATTTTGTAACTAGGAGTGATCTTGACACAGATACATGGTATATTGATGCAATGAAAAGAACTGAAATCCCTTGTGAAACTGGTGACGACACCTGTGTTAATAAAGTGGAGTACCTCCACATTGGTGGAGGTACAGACAGCAATGACCTCATGCTCAGGAGGTATGAGGTCCAGCCTCCTCTAACCTACAAGACCTTAAAACAAGTTGCTCAGTTTCTTCCTGAGTAATAGTCTCTAAGCTCACTTCAGGTTCTAAGATTCTATTCGTTTTGACCTGGAAATGAAAAACTGACATTTTCTTGTCATCAAATGCCAGGTAGAGTATGTTTTCGAGTGTGTCTGTAGGCTGTGAGTTCGTGATTTGTTATTAATTCTAAGTCAGAACTTAATAACTAAAATGTCCCTAACGATTTGGGTTTTTCCCTTTTTGCTTCAATTATTCAGAAATAATATAATGAACAAAGTTGATTTTTCAAAGTTGAAGACAGTGTTTTTAAAGGCAGGAAGATAAAATTATCAAGTTACATCTAAGAAAATTCCCATTAGACTATTGGCAAGTTTCTCAGAAGAAACCCTGTATGCCAAGAAAGAATGGGATGATATATTCATAGTGCTGAAAGGAAAAATCTACCAACCAAGAATACTATCGTCACCAAAGAAATCCTTAGAAGTAATAGAGAAATGAGTTATTTTATATACAAGCAAAATTTGAGGGAATTCATTACCACTGGACCTGCCTTACAAGAATGCTTAAGGAATTTTTTCAAGCAGACACAAAAGGATAAAAAATTACTATCACGATGCAACTATACATATGCAACTATAAAAATTACTGGTAAAGTAAATATATATTATATCCAGAATACTCGGATATTATAATGGTGATATGTAAACTACATAGATCTTTGATATAAAGGTTAAAAGTTAAATTGGTAAAAAATAAAGTACAATGTGTTGTGAAGAAATATATAAGATAAAAATGCAAATTAATTTCAAGAACATGTGGAAAGAAGTTAAAAATCTAGAATTTTTGTATACAACAGAAGTGAAGTTGTAATCATCTTAAAACAGATTATAACTAATGTTTATGCAAGCCTCGTGATAACCACAAAACAAAACAACAACAACAACAACAAAAATCATAGCAGGTATACAAATGATAGAGGGAAAGAAATCAAAGCTTAACCCTACAGAAATTTACAATCATTAAGGCAGACAGCAAGAGAGCAAGAAGGAACAAAAGAGGTACAAAACAGCCAGAAAACAAATAATAATAAGATAATAGAAAGTTGTTAGCTATCAGTAATAACCTTGCATGTAAATGGATTAAATTTTCAATTGAAAAGATACAGAATGACTGTGTGGATAATAAGGAAAAAAAATATCTAACTAAATGTTATCCTACAAGAACAAGAGACCCACTTAAGCTTTACAGATACAAATAGGCTGAAAGTGGAAGGATGGAGAAAGATATTCCTTGTGAATGGTAAACAAAAGCTGGATGCAGTGACATTTGCCTGTAATTTCAGCTACTCAGGAAGCTAAGAAAGAAATATCACAAGTTCAAGGGCAACTTCAGCAACTTAGTGAGACCCTGTTTTAAAAATAAAAATGGCTGGGGATATAGCTCAGAGGCAAAGTGCCCCTGAGCTCAATCCCCAGTACCATCACCCCCAACACACACACAAAGAGACAGCAGAGGAGGCTTTGCTTATATTTGATAAAATAGACTTCAAGTCAAAAACTGTCACAAGAGAAAAATAGTCATTTTTAAACAATAAAAGGGTTAATTCATCAACAAGATATAAATAACAATTATAAATATATTTGCAGCTAACATTGGATCACCTAAATACACAAAGAAAATAATACTAAAATAAGGGAGAAATAAATGGCAATACAATATGAGGGTAATTCAATACCCCATTTATATAATGAATAGATCAACCAGGAAGAAAATTAATAAGGAAATTCTGGACTAGAATTAAACTTTCCACCAAAGGGAACTAAACAGATGTTTACTAAAATTTCTATTCAACATAAGACAGATTTTTCTTCTGCACACAGGAACACTCTCCAGGATAGACCATATATTAGGTCACAAAACAAATCTTAACAAATTTAAGATTGAAATAATATCTGTATCACTTCAGATCTTAATGGTATGAAACTATAAATCAATAGTAGGAAGAATCTTGAAAAATTCACTAATGTTGAAATTAAACAATTTGCTCCTTAACAACAAATAAGTCAAAGAAAAAATCAAAGAAGAAATTAGAAAACATCTTGAGATAAATGAGAATGGAAGCACAACCTATAAAGTACAGTGAAAAAAATTCTAAGAGGGATCTTTACCACAATAAATGCCTACATTAAAAAAGAAGGATTCAGGGGCTGGGGATGTGGCTAAGCGGTAAAGTGCTCATCTAACGAGTGCAAGGCGCTGGGTTTGATCCTAAGTACCACATAAAAATAAATTAAATAAAGGCATAGTGTCCAACAACTAAAAACAAAAAATATTTTAAAAAGAAAGGATTCCAAATAAATGGTTTAAAATTACATTTCAAGAACCTAGAAAAAGAACAAACTAAACTCCAAATTAGCAAAGGAAGGAAATAATAAAATCAGAACAGAAATAAATCAACTAGAGAATAGGAAACAGAATAAAACTAAGAGGTGTGTTTTTGAAAACAATAAGCAAAATTGAAAAACTCTCAGCTAGTCAAAGAACAAAAGGGAAAAGAGTCAAATTTTTAAAGAAGCAAAGCAAATTATAACAGACATGTTAGAAATAGAGATATTCATGACAGACTATCATGAACAATTATATGCCAACAAGTTGGACAACTTACAGGAATTGGATGAATTACTAGAAAATATAACCACCAAAATGGAGTCATCAAGAAATAGATATCCTGAGCAGACCAATAGCAAATAAAGAAATTTAATAAATACACAAAAACCTCCCAAGATGAAAAAGCCAAGGAAGTAGCTAGATTCACAGCTAAATCCTACCAAACATTTAAAGTAGAATTAATAGCAATACTTTAAAAACTGTTGAAAAACACAGTTATAAAGATTGTCTCCAAACATATTTTGTGAAGTAATCATTTCTTTGATCTTAAGCCAGAAAAAGATATCACAAGAAAAGAAAACTAAAGGCCAATTTCTCCAATGAACATTGATGCAAAAATTACTAGTATTTTATGAATATTAGTAAATTGAATCCAGCAATATATCAAAAATGTTGCACGTCATGACCAAGTGTGATTTGTCCCCGGCATGCAAGGTTGGTTTAATGTACACAAATCAATGTGATATACTCATATTAACAGAATGGAAGAATTTATCATCTCAATTGACACAGATAAAGCATATGACAGATTCCAACATGCTTTAATTAAAAACTCTGAATAGTTAGATAAAGATGAAAACTTCTGCAACATAATAAAGGATGCTTATGAAAAATCCACAGCTAATATTATAATCACCAGGGAAAAGCTGCCACTGAGATACAGTACAAGGCAAGAATGTCCACTCATCATTTTTTAATATTTATTTTTTAGTTTTAGGTGGACACAAAAATATCTTTATTTTGTATTTATTTGATGCTGAGGATCGACCCCAGTGCCTCATGCATGCTAGGCGAGCACTCTACCACTGAGCCACAACCCAGTCCCACTCATCATTGTTATTCAACATAGAACTAAAGGGTACTAGCAATAGCAATCAGACAAGAAAAATAAAGAATAGGCCTCCATGTCCAAAAGAAGTAAAATCTTCTGTTTACATATGACATTGTCCTATATGTAAAAAAAAATCACCAACGATTCCATAAAAAGCTATAACTAATAAATGAATTCAGTAAAATTTCAGGATACAAAACCAATATGAAAAAATTAACAGAATTTTTATACACAAATAACAACCTAACTGAAAAAGAAATTAAGAAGACAGTCCTATCTCCGCTCCCCCATTCAGAAACAAACCTAGGAATAAATTCAACCAAGGAAATATTGGAACACTGAAAACTATAAAACATTGATGAAAGAAACTGAAGAAGACAAGGAAAGATATCCTGTGCTTATGGTATGGAAGAACTAACATTGATCCACCCAAACTAATACAGAGATTCAGCACAGTCCCTATCAAAGTCCCAAAGTCAGTCTTTACAGAAATAGGAAAAAAAAACTACACTTTTTTAATGGAATCATTAAAGACTCTGAATAGCCAGCATAATTCTGAGAAAATAAAATAAAATTAGAGGCACCACATGTTCTGATTTTAAATTACAGAGTTATAATAATCAAAATTTAAATATGGTACTGGCATAAAAGCAGACACATAGAACAGTAGAACAGAATAGAGATCCCATAAACAAATACAAATCTACATGGTTGATTAATTTTTGACAAGAGCATAAAGAGGATACAATGGGGGAAAGGACAATCTCTTCAATAAACAGTGCTAAGAAAACTCAACTTGTATATGCAGAATGAAGTTGGACTCCTGTATGACACTATATACAAAAGTCAACTCAGATTGGATGGAAGACTTAAATATATGATCTTAAACTATGAAACTCCTTAGAAAAGAACATAAAGGAAAAGCACTGGACATTGATCTTCACAATTATTTATTTATTTATTTATTTATTTAAGATACCACACCAAAAGCCCAAGTTCAAGATGGAAAATAAATAAATGGAACTATGTCATACTAAAAAGCTTTTGCACAGCAAATGGAATCAAGAAAATGAAGTGGCATTGGAAATGGATTCTAACAGATTGGGAAGAAATATCTGTGAACCATGCATCTGGTGAGAGATTAATATCCCAGATTAATAGCTCATACAACTCAACAGTGGAAAAAACTAATAACATGATCATAAAATGGGCAAAAGACTTGGATACACATTTTTTAAAGAAGATACAAAAATAGTCAACCATGAAATGAAAAAAATGCCCAACTTCATTCATCATCAGGTAAATGCAGATCAAAGCCATTATGAAATATTACCTCACATCTGTCAGGATGACTATTATCAAAAGGTTGAAAGATAACAAGTGTTAGTGAGGGTGTGGAGAAAAGGAAAATGTTATACGACTGGTGGGAATGCAGACTAGTACAGCCATCGTGAACAGTATGGATGCTGCTAAGGAAATTAAAATCAGAGCTACTGGAAAACCCAATAATCCTGCTTCTGGACAAATACCTAAAGCAGATGAAATCACCACCCCATAAACATGGGAATGAACACCTCCACATTCACTGCAGCATTATTCACAATAGCTAAGATATAAAAATAACCCAAGTATCCACTGACTAATAACCGTTAAAGAAACTTTGGTACAATGGAATATTATTCAGCCCTAGGAAAGAATGAGATCTTGCAATTTGCCACAACATAGATGAACCAGAGGACATTATGCTAAGTGAAAGAAGTCAGACATAGAAGGAAAAAGAGTACATCATCTCACTTATATACAGAACCTGGAAAAGAAAAAACACAAATGTATGATGATAGAAAATAAGAGGATAGCAAGGATTGAAATGAGGGATAAGGGGAGTAGGCAGAGGATACAAAGGAGCAGATATGTGGGATTAACAAATATAGTGATCCAAAGTGCACCATGAGGATTATAGGTAATCATACTGTATACAGGATTCATGCTAAATGAGTATATTTTAGTTACTCTTGCCACAAACAAAAATAAGGTTAACTATGTGAGATGATGGATATGTTAATTTGCTTCACTGTTTTTTTTCATTTTACTATTTATATGTGTCCCATAACATTATATTTTTAAATATATACATTTTATATCAAGTGCAAACAAATGTTAACTCACACATTATAGCTGGTGATTGAGAAATGAAATTTCAAGTAATGCATAGTAGTTATTGAAACACTTGTATAACTTTTTTTTTTTTGCTAGGGTAGATCAGGACTTGAGTTGCTTCCAAGTATGGATAAGGATTAATAGAGGGCAACTACCATGTAGTTGAATCTTGGTAAACACTGATTTGTTGAAGAATGAATGAATGGATGGATGGATCAATTAGTGAGTAAATGATTGAATGAAAATGTCAAGATTCAAGATTCAAGGCACAGTTACAGTTCAATCAATGTTGCCTGATGTAGTAAGACAGACAAGTGCCAGCGCAGGGCACTTGGTGCCTTGGCCTCACCTGCAGAAGTCCACGCCAATGTTCTTGAGCTTTACAGTGGTTGCATAGGTGTGTCCTTCTTGAAGCACTCCAAATTTCACTGATGGTGGGAGAAGATGGAACCCAAAAGGGGATGACTTTATATTATTAATGGCAGCAGATGCAATAGAGGATGTATACACTTTTCCTCCAACAGAATCTTGAACCTTTGCAGCAAGGAAAAATTAATAAAATGGTTTTCTCTGGTGTTTCCAAGATGTTTCTTATCCCTGCTACCAGAGGAAAATAGCTGCTTTGCTGGGGGAAGAAATGAAGATTTATGGAGGCTCCTCAAATCTTTGTAATATCCCTACAAGAATCATCATTTTGTTTATTTGTTTTTTTTCATAGAACTGAAATATAATTTGCTCAAGTGTTAAGTGGTGATGTTTTAAACTCAGGTTTGTGTGATTCTAAAGTCTGTGCTCTTTCCTCTGTGCCAGGCCTAACAAATGCCAGCTCCTCTCAGTCTCCTGGTGGACTCATTAAGAAAAATTGTTGACCCCACTCCCAGAGTTTCTCATTCTGTGTGTCTGGAGTGAAATGAAGAATTTGCATTTGTACACATTTGCAGGTGTGGCTAATGTGCTGTTCAGGTAATTGCACAGAGCACCACTGGTCTATGCCTTGTTAGTTCCCACATCAACAGCATGACATCTCCCGAGAGTTTGTTAGGACTGTAGCATTTCAGGCCCCACATTAAGACCAGTATCTATATCTTTAACAAGAGCCCCCAGGTAATTCATATGCCAACTAAAGTTTGAGAAACTCCTATCAGTTATATACATTGCAATATATTCTGTGATGGCAATGACCATGGTGTGCCATGGAAATAAAGAAATGAAAATTGTTAGAACTTGATTAGTGAGCTGGGGTTGTAGCTCAGTGGTAGAGTGCTTGCCTAGCATGTGTGAAGCATTGGATTCGATCCTCAGTACCACATAAAAATAAATAAATAAAACAAAGGTATTGCGTCCATCCACAACTAAAAAAAAGAAAGAAACAAAAAAAGCACAAACAAACTTGATTAGTAAGCTTAAAGACATCCTATTAGAGCTGGGTAGAAAATTAATCTTGCAGAATGAAAGTAAAGAAGGAGGTTGGTGGTTCTAAGAAACCAAGAGAAGTCCATATGGTGAAGTAAAGTGAATTTGAGGGATTGTGAGGGTAAAGAAGCAAATAGGCCATGCCTTAGTACTCATCTAAGTTATTTGAATTTTATTCTGAGTCACGAGAAGGGTAGCCAATGATCCCTTTAGCCAGCAGTGTGCAGTAAACTGGTTGTCCCCAAAGAGAGTATTCCCAGTACAACTGATTTCAGCTACTAGTAATTTAACAACTGTTTTTTTAACTTGTCTTATGAGAAGGTATGAGCCAGATCTAGCAAAACACTGCCTTAGTTTATGTCTACAACTAATGGTTCTCATGGTAAGATGGGGTACATAGCAGGACACAGTGGCTGAAAGTAACAACTGGAACCAATCAGAATTACCTAAAATGCTGATTGATCCTGGGAAATTTGTCCCCGTGTCTGGTTTACCTTTGTAAGAGGTTGAGATTTGGGTTTGGAACTCATCAAATAATGAGGTAACTTCACTTTTTCTTTCCTTGCTTGTCCCGCAGCATCTTGCAGCAATGATTGGGTTGGAATTTTCACAGGTGTATAAGATTCTAATTCTGTTAGAGAAGAAGTTTAAATTATGCCACCCGGACATTTCTAAGAATTTGAAGTATATAAGAACATAAACTAACTTTGGAAACTCTTTTTCCTAAATAACTTATTTAAAGAAAGGTTTCTCTTGATTCTCATTACATTTTACTAAGTCATTTTACATGTATGACTTAACACTGGTCCTTCACAACAGTCCCATAAGATGGACATGAAAGATGCTGTTAAGCATCTCTTTTTAAAAATAAAATTCTAAAAAGTCAAGTAACTTGCCTATGAGGAACTAAACTTAAGCCTGGGTCTTTGGGGGTCCTTTCAACTAAACCAACAGGCATAGCACAAGAAAAATATCGACTCTGAAAGATTTCTTAAAATCAATGAGTACAAAGTCTTCAGAATTTCTTTGGTGCTACTACAGTATTTATAGTTCTAAAAAGTGATGAAGCAATTACAGATAAATTAAGGCAGGAAATTAAATCCTCAGCTCTCTAAGTTTGGCAACTTGTTCTTTTCCTCAGCTACAGGAAGGAGAGAGCTAAAGTAGATAGTTCACACAGCTGCAGCTCTTTAGATGGCTCCAGCTATTCAAGAGGTTGAAATAAGAATTAGATTTCAGATCATCATTGACCTTATCTTTCCTTCTGGTTTATGGATCTGGAAGTATTGGGATCTTGGGCCTCTAGATCCCTGCCATATAGGAATGGCCTGTCCTCTGTTGGAAAGAAAAAAGAAAAAAAAATCCAGATGCATAGGCATGGGGGTGAGATGGAGGCAGGGAGGAAGTGGAGAGAAAGGGGCAATCTGACATATATTCATGGAAAGCCAGAGAGCCCAGGTCCAAACATACATGGTGCTGGCACCAGAGCTACTCTTCTGTAGTTTGCATCTGAGCACCAATAAATCCACCATCAGTCCCCTTTGATTAAGTGAATTTAAGTTCACTTAAAAATGAAAAAGCTCTAGTTAATTCAATAGCAGTATCACTTTTTTTAAAGATGAGGGCAACTGAAGGTCAGAGGACTAAATAACTTGTCCCAGAAATGATAATAAAGGTCAGAACTCGACAGTGAATCTCAACATGGCCCCAAACCTACCTCCACCATCATCTCCTGGGTTGCTTCTAGAAAAATAGATTCCTGGGCCTCAGGCTAGATGGGCCCTGTTCCCAACCAAAACAGAAGCAGAATCTCTGGGGATGGACCTCAATGTTCAATGTTCTGATGTCTTTATACTTTTTGGTCACCATTTCCTACATAGGCAACCATTCAAATGGCTTGATGTATCTTTAGCATATTTGTTCTGTACAAAATATGTGTTTCATATTATTTTTTTGTGAATGAATTTCAACAATCCAATTATTTGCTCACACTATTATTACTAATAGTAGATGCAGATATGAAGTTCATTATTTGTCAAACATTGCTCTAAGCATTTTACATATATTAACTAATTTCATCCTTCAACCCTTCCATGTATATACCCATGTGTATATATCATTACTTTCCCAATACAGAAGATGAAATGCAAGAGAGAGACAGAGAGAGAGAGAGAGAGAGAGAGAGAGAGAGAGAGAGAGAGAGAGAGAGAAGAGAGAGCAGTTAAACAGTATGCTCAATATTGCAAAGAAATTATATAAGGAGGCAGGCTTGAATTCAGGTAGAGCCCATACCTTATCCCTGCTCTATATTGTGCTGCCTCCCATAAAGCAGACTGATTATTATTCCACTGAGCCTACTCAGGGCTTCACCAGGGACTGGAAAGATGCAGGGATGGGTCTTGAAGCAGTGACTGGTCATTGGCTAATAGAGTTGTTAATAGTTGAACAACTGGCAGGTCCTTGCTAGTCGTGCATATATCATCTGAATACTGATGCAGAGCATGACCCAACTGATGAAGCTGTAGGGTTTCTGTCACCTTATTAAGGCATATTGTATTACTTACGCATAATAATTCACTTCTCTCTGAGCAAGGCTTCCTTATAGGTGGAGTATATGTCTCTGCCCCATTAACTGTGAACTTGGCCACAGGACGTTTTGCTTTGACCAACAAATGAGTGTGTGGATGGCAGTGGGCCAGTTCTGAGCAGAAGCTATGAGGGGCAGCACACATTTCTCCTTACCTCTCCTAAACTTTGACCCTCAGCCTTGAGGACAGCTTTTCCAAATGGTGGGGGCTCTTTCAGTGGGGCACCCTTGGAATGTATCAGAACTTCACCTGCAGCCAGTGATGTGCTAAGTGTTTAACAGGCATTCCTCTGGGGGACCTGCCCTAGTTTATATAACTTGCGCATTTGTAGCATTTGCTGATTTCTCACCATGACTGGCTCAAGTTTTCAATGTCATAACACAGAGCACGTTGTTGGGAAGAGATAACACAACTGACCCTAGGAGCCAGGGAACTGTCCCCAGCGCACCCCACCTGCAGCCTGAAGCAGAGCTGCCTCAGTGGTCCACAGGCCCAAAGACTGACTGTTTTCAGACACTTCAGAATTTGGGGACCTTTTCATGAAGTATTGTCACAGCCAATATCGATGAACATCCATTTTATTTCGCATATTCCAAACTCCTCTGACTTTATTCTACTTTCCAAACGCTTGTCTTGTACTAGAACCAAATATCAAAAAAAAAAAAAAAATCTCCCATCTACTTAGGCTGATTTCCTGTTCACTGCTGCCTTCAAGCTTTTGAATGCACTCATCTTTTGTCTTTTAACATAATACAGATTTGGCATCTGTAATCCAAAATCTGAAATTCACAATTCTACAAAATCTGAACATTTTTTAGTGCTGACATGACATTCTTTGGTACTTTTTTCTCTTTCTTGCACATAAAATATAGTATTAAAAAATAGAGAGGGAATGAGGAGTCCAACCTTCCACAATCAGTCTTTCTTATTTTATTTTTACACTATAATTGCCCCCACTCCTTTGCAATCAAACAGGAACTCTTTCACTTTCCCAATACCAAACCTATCAATCCAAAACATATGTATTTGTCTCTCTTATGGACTGTCATTATGGATGAGGTGACCCTATTTATCCAAGGTCAACTCTGCCCCTCCGGGTTTTATCCAGATGCCATGTTCTCTCACCTTCCTTAGGTATCTCCTTCTATCGTTATCATTAACTTCTCCTTTGCTATCAAGTTATCATTGTACCCTAGTAAGCATATATTAAAAAATTATCTCTTGGTTTCTTTTATGACTTGGATATGAATTGTTCCCCCAAAGATTTCTGTGTTGAATTCTTGGTTCCCAATGCAGCAAAGTTCAGGAGTAGGGCTTTCAGGAAGTGATTGGATCGTGAAGACCCCATCAATGGATTGATCCATTGACAGCTGACTGGATTATTGGGAGGCAGTGGAACCCTGGTTGAAGGAAGTAGGTCACTGGGGGTGTGACCTGGAAAGGTGTTTGTTGATCCCAGTCCTTTCTCTTCCTGGCTCTGCTTCCCAGCTTTCATGACGTGTGCACCTTTTCTCTACCATGCCCTTCCACCATGATTTTCTGCCTAAACGCAGACCCTCAAAATAGAGCCAGCCGACCAAGGATTGAAAGCTCTGAAGCCATGAGCCAAAATAAATCTTTCCTCTTAAGTTGTCGGTGTCAGATATCTTAACTAACATAGCCTCATAACTGGTCACACAAGTTAACTTAGAAATTAGCCTTGATGTCTAAATTCTTTTTTCTTATACCCACATCAATTGACCATAAATCCTATTGGGTCCACCCTCATGATATGTTTCCAATTAATTTGATTCTCACTGTCTGCACCTTAACCCACTTAGTCCAGGTCTTTGGCAATTTCCACCTGTAAGACTTCTGTTGCTTTTCCCCTGCTTCCAATTTTTTCCCACTCTTTCCCTTCCCTGCCCCAAACTTATCTTTCACAAATATCAGAGTGGTCTTTAACATTAGCCACATTACCCCTTGCTCAAAATTTTACAGTGCTGTCTGAATAAAATCATGCTCAGAATACAACTGAAAAGCCCCTGTGCAGCATTACATGATCTCATCTCTCTGATTGCACATGCTTCAACTTCTTCCTTTGCTCATTATATTCTAAGTATATGTCATTTTTAGTTCCTTCCCCTGTGGTCTTCATATTTGCTGTTCCCCACAATATTCCTCTTCCCTAACCTTTGCATGGCTTACTCCTTGTTCTTGCCTCTGCTCAAATGTCCCTTCACACAGAGGCCTTCCAATCTCCCAGTGGAATTTTGCTCCTCTCCCCAAGTCACCCTCCATACATTATACTGTTATATTCTGTCATAATATTTATTATAATATGATCTTATCTGACTTATTTGTTTGCTTACTTATTGTTGAGGTTTGCCCATAGTGCAATAGCTCTATAAGACTTTGGCATCTGAATGTTATATTTTAAGCCCAAAAAAAAGCCCGGCAAAAAAAGCAATGAAAAATAACCAACCAAAGAAGAAAAACTAAAAAAAGTTGAAACCAAGAAAGCAAAAAACCCAAGGAAGGCAAACCCCCTAAATCAACCAAAACCGGCAAAAAAACTTTTTTTTAATAAAAGATAACTGAGACCCATATGCAGATTCTCACATTCAGAGAGAAGAATGTCCATAGGAATCAAGCGTTAGCAAAACTATCTCAAAAAGTTTAAATAGTCTCTTTTTCTTTCCCTCTTTTGAATAACCATATTTAGTTAACTCCAGTGAAGTCAATATAATGTGACTCCATTGTAAATAGACATTATTTTCTAGTGTTCTGTATTTCAATTTGCGCTCTCCAATAAGATTACATGCTGTGTAAGAGACGACATCTTATGATTCTCTTCTAGCACTTGAGGAGTCCCCTTCTCCCACCAAAAAATCAAAATAATAAATAAACCTATGTCCAACCACCAGGTTATTGGCTGCTCAAGAAGCTACCAGGTGTTTTTCCCTTAATAAATCACATAAGCTGTCAGAACCATGAGGGATAAAATAAAATAAAGAAATAAAATAACAAATCTAAAAAAATCATTTGTAAATTTCTTCCCTCTGATCTGGGACTTAGTCATTCTCAAAATATTTTTTGAGCTATTTTGATGTGCTAAGAAGCCTAATCTTCATAGCTCCAGGATCCATGACCCTCTGGAACTTTTTCCTATAACTGCCAACCAAACCCCATCCCCCAGCACCATCTGCAATACTCCAAAAAGTTATAATGTTCAGTTTTGAAAAACATGAGATAATACAAATGACTGCCATACCTTCAGTAGATTTTGTTAAATTTTCAGTTTGGTTCTGGCTAGTTGACTTTGCAGTGTCCTCCAAAATCTCTGATTTTTGCATATTTGGGGATTCCTTTTCTGAGACTGTAGGTGGCTTGGAATCTAAAAAAACCCAAACAAACATTATAAAGTGTTATTTTGGGCAATGATATGATGACTACTATACTTATATGAATAAACATCAAACAACATGTTGTACCACAAACAGGTTCTATGCCCTCCCTGCACTGAGAAAGACTGAATTTAAGAGGCAGAGATTCTTCCCAATGTGATTCAACGTTTGCCATTAACAAACAGGATGGTAGGTACTGAGTTCACACTCCCTGAGGGCTGGCTAGTTCTTTGTGGACACTAAGACCAAATAGTAGAGTTGTCACCTCCTTGAATTATGAACAGACCAAGTAATCTGTCTCTACTTTACCTGGCAATCACTATTAGATAACTTTCAAAAATAGTTTTCTGATCTTAAATCCATTCATTACTTCTGAAAATGTAGTTCTTTATGAAAATATACATCTTTAAGAAATGGGTGTCATATGAAATAAATTTTGAAGAAATATATCCAGGACAGGGCAGGCAAACACTCTCTAACTTGTGTGTGTGCGGACCACGTTGCAGGGTCGAGGCTGAAAGGCCTTCCTCAGCCTCTCCTCCTTTCACTGTTTATCCTTCCTCTGATTATCGCTGTTACCTGCCTGGGGTGCAGCAGGTCTGACTGGTAACACAAGTACCATCAACCTGTCATGCCTGACTTGTCCTTGTCACATTTAAAGGTCATTGTTCCAGGCTTACTCTTGGATTTGCAAACTCTGTTTGCAACTAGATGTTTCCTTTAGGCTGTGCAAAACTATCATCTGGGTATTTAAAATACTTAAGTTTCAAAGAGAAGCATTAAGTTTCATTTCATCCCAAAATTCTTCAGCCTGCATCTCCTGAGAATATGGACATTCTCCTACATATCCACACCACTGTTACACCTAAGAAATCAATAATAATTTCACAACGACCTCTAATCAAGTGTCGTAGTCAAACTTGTGCAGTTTCTCTAAAATGTCTTTTACAGCTATTTTTTTTAATAATCCAAGATCCAAAGTTCATGTGTTACATGTACTATTTATTAAGCTAGAATAATTGCCCTTTTTTACAAAGAGCACAGGTCAATTGTCTTATAAAATATCTACATTCTGGTAGACATTTGTCTGATTGTTTCCTTTTGATTAGATTCAATTTAAGGATTTTCGACATGAATTCCATATGTACTTTATATCACATCACATGAGAAAGCACCTAATGTGAAGTTGTCCCACTATTGGTAGAAATTAGCGTATTTAGTTGAGGTGAAAAATGCCACAACTTCAATTGTAAGGTTATATTTTACTCACTGTAATTAGTATATGTGAGTTGCTGTTTAGTGACCATGTGAATGCTGTGTTTCCCAACAATTTTCAATATTCCTTTTTTTTTTAAAATTAGCCAAGTCTTCTAAATACTTTCAGATTGATTTGAAATAGAGAATGAAAACTAAATTTTATTTACATCTTGGTTTCCTCATATAACTCCATCAAATCTGTAATATGCAGGTCCTAGTAGGTTGTGTTCATTACGACCAAGACAAAAGGTGCTATGAACTATGTTCCAAGAGGTATCATTAAGTAGGGTTTAATATAAATAAGAACTATACTAATGTATTACCTAAATGATGATCAGATGTATCTTCAACAGCTGTTTTGCTTCTATTTTCTTCATCTTTCCTTATAAAATTGGGCAGTTTTTTAGAAAGACTCTCCAGATAATTATACTTCAAGGAAAAACCAAAAGACTTAGTATTGACTCAAATAAGGTGAAAGCAAATGCCACAAATATGTTAAACCAATAAGTAATGATGAAAGCATATTTTAAGGCCCTGAAAATAAAATTTACAAACTAAAAGTTCTTCAAGAGACCGATTAACTGAATTCTAGCTTTGGTTAGTTGGTCATATTTTCTGTAATTTCTTCTCAGACGGTCTCTTGTTACCAATAGCATCAGGAAATTTTGAGAAATGCTGGGTGTCCTGAACATGTGAAAATATTCCCTGTGCTTTAGGTCTCAGTGAACTCCTGGGCATTCAGAGGAAGCCTGGCTCTAAGGCTCAGGTAAGAACTCATATAGAAGAGGAGAGCATTCTGCTTCTGGGACTTCCAAGAACTCACAGTATTTTAGTGCTATCTTAGCAGTTGATGTGTGAGAAAATGTTAATGGAAAAAAAAAGGAATTTCAAAATGGATTGATCAGAGGACAATCATTGACAGGGAGACTCAGCCTCAAAAAGAACTTTAGGGCTGGGGATATAGCTTGGTTGGTAGAGTATTTGCCTTGAATGTACAAAGCCCTGCGTTCAATCCCCAGCAACACACACACACACACACACACACACACACACA